CTCATAATTTATTGTAAATATTGCCACAACCTTGTTATTTTATACTGTTTCACAGGAGAGACTTTGGAGTCAGTTCTGGCTCCTAATCTCAGCTGCCCCTTGTGAACTTTCCAAAAGTCAAGTTACTTTACTGCTTTGAATCTCCACTTCCTTATTTATTAAACAAGGCAAATACTGTGAAGATTAAGTGAGATAAGTTTTATAAAGCCTGCACCCAGGGCAAGGCATATAGCCATCAGTTACTAAATGGTGGCCCTTCTGAAGCTCAAATTCTGAAATAAACTTCTATGCAATTCTGATTTGAAGCCTCATGGAACTTATATTCTTGTTGGAGAGACAAGATTCACAAAATATATGTGTACTAGTTATACGTACTAAAGAGGAAAAAAGAGAGCAGGGAAAGGGGACACAAAATATTAGAAAGAAGTTGAAACTGAATAGGATCAACAGGTGAGACCCCAACAAAAGAAGACTCTTAAGGGGACCTAAAGGAAACAAAGGGCTGTCTGTGTAGATGTCTATGGGAGGAGCATTTCAAGCTGTGGGAACAGCAAGTGCAAAGGCCCTGAGGCAGGAGTGTCCATGGAATGTACAAGGTACAGCATGGAGGATGGAGTGCCTGGAGTAGAATACATATGGGAAAGAATAGTAGGAAATGCAATCAGGGAGGTAACAGTGGCCAGCTGGTAGATCATGTAAGGTCTTAGAGGTCACAGTAACGACTTTGGAGGGTTTGAACAAAGGAGCAACATGATCTGACTTACATTTCTGAAAAGATCCTTTTGCCTGCCGTGTTGAGAGCAGACTATTAGAAGGGGAGGAGCAGGGGAGGATGGTCAACAAGGGCAGGAAAATGGAGATAGTTAAGAGGCCAGTGTAGTAATTCAGTGTTACCATGTCCATCTTAACGGGCTAATCATGTTGTGTTCTGCCATTGAGATACGGGAGGTTTTTCTGTGCCCCTGCTGTGTTTATACACACTGGGAGGAATGGGAGTCACATCATCCTGAAAGGCATCCATCCTGGTGTTTTATGTCCTTTAGTAGATTGCGGTACTGTATCACAGTCACATTTGCATATAACTTTATCTGTGCCCTGCTTGTCTGGGAAATTTTCTTGTAAGAGAAAGGAGCACTTTACAAAATGGACTCTCTTTGTCACTTGTCATGTTCGAGTGATCCCTGGTGATTGTCCCTACGGGGAAGTGCTGTTTCATTATGAGAGTTATCGATTCTGACACTATCAGTCAACTAGAAGAAAGGTAGGTTAGTGGGGCTGATGAGCACCATTGAGATGCTTACAAACGGTGGACAGTAATTCCTCCTGCTCCCACGGCAGACATCACGTGGAAAAGCGAGCCCTCACTACAGGGCGTAGAGAGCTGTAGTCTGAAACCTTTACTTTTCTTTCTTTTAAACCTTTCTGGTTAGGATTTGCTTCGTATTGCCATCAAAATTTATACTGTAATTCAAGGTTGCCTGAAAAATTATATGTATGCATGTGTATCAGGAAATTGGAGTAATCCTCTAATTTACTAGCTTGAGATTCAACCTCAGACATGTGGCCTTTATACAAACTGCCATGAAATTCTTCAGTGACATTAATTTTAGGGTACTTGTGTGTGTGTGTGTGTGTGTGTGTGTGTGTGTGTGTGTGCGCACGCGCATGTCTGCATCTGAAGGGTAGAGAATATGTATTATAAATCAAATTTAGCAAGTGTCACAACCCCAAAAAGGCTAGAAGCAATTGATTTACATCAGTGTGGCATAGCTGCTGCTGGCTCAAAAACCTCTTTGATTATCTTTAAGGATCTGTGTGAATTTTAACCCTTTTAACGAGAATCAGATCAAATATCAACGGATATAGTACAATTCAGTATTATAAGACACCAGTAACATGCTCAGTTTATAAATGGAGTGTATTTGTCCATTTAATTACAAACATTGTCCTTAAGTGGAAAAGAAATTGGATGGTCATTCAATGTATATTATGTATTAAAAACGTCAAGTAAATGTATTGAGATATCTAATTATGTGATTTATCTTTAACACCTGCCTTTATTATTGTTAGTCTCCTGTGGTAAAAGAAAAAAATAAGTACGTGTCAATTCGTGACTTTGCTTTTCTAAAGTCATATTTATATCAGTGCCACCTTCATATCCATGACTGTGTGTGTGTGTGTGTGTGTGTGTGAGAGAGAGAGAGAGAGAGAGAGAGAGAGAGAGAAAGAGAGAGACTAAGTCTTGCTTTGTTGCCAGGCTGGAGTGTGATGGGGCGATCTTGGCTCACTGCATCCTTTACCTCCTGGGTTCAAGTGATTCTCCTGCCTCAGCCTCTCGAGTAGCTGAGATTACAGAGGCTCGTGCCACTATGCCCAGCTAATTTTTATGTATTTTAGAAGAGATAGAGTTTCACCATGTTGGCCAGGAAAGTCTCAACCTTGTGATCCGCCCACCTCTGCCTCCCAAAGTGCGGGGATTATCGGCATGAACCGCTGTTCCCTGCCTAGATCCATGATATTTAACAGTCATAGACACTTTCACATTTATCATCTTATTAGGTCCTCAGAGCACCTCTGTGGATGCACAGAGATAGGCTCTGTGGCCCCATTTTACAGCAAAGGAAACATCAATGTTTAGAACAGACTCGGGTCTTTGGATTCTTAGTCTAGGGCCTTATTCCCAACACCAAACTGTTTTCATTAGCTCTTACCTAGTCTTTTTCAGATTTATAGAGCTCTAGTAGTTGTAGAATAAACACAGATTTTTGCAGCAAGATGAATGCAGCAGCAGTAAATAGTGATGACAGTGTTTTTATGTTTGAAATTTCTTTTTTTGAAGCGGATTTTCACTCTTGTTGCCCAGGCTGGAGCGCAATGGTGCGATCTTGACTCACTGCAACCTCCACCTCCCAGATTCAAGTGATTCCCCTGCCTCAGCCTCCCGAGTAGCTGGGATTACAGGCATGTGCCACCACGCCTGGCTAATTTTGTATGTTTAGTAGAGATGGGGTTTCTCCACGTTGGTCAGGCTGGTTTTGAACTCCTGACCTCAGGTGATCCGCCTGCCTCGGCCTCCCAAAGTGCTGGGATTACAGGTATGAGCCACCACACCCAGCCTGAAATTTCTAACCAATGCATTTCTGTATTTTCTCATCTGTGTCCTCTTAGAAACTTGCATTAAATCCAGAAAGGTTAAAACATGCCTTGTAAAGATAAATAAATCCTCAGGAACATAATGTTAAATGAAAGAAATATGTCACAAAAGAAAACAGATAGTGTGATTCCCTTTATAGAAAGTTCAAATATAGATAAAACAAAACTGTGGTATTAGAAGTCGCGATAGCAGTTACCCTGATTTGGGAGTATGTGGTTGGGTTGGGGGAGTGTATTGAACTGAGTGCTGGTTGTACAGGTATTCCCTTTGGGAAGGTTCACTGACTTTTTATTCTTCAGTAAAATTCTTTCTAAAAGCTTTATTTTCATAAGTGGTAGTTCCATTTAAATGCTTCAGACTTAAAGAGCAGTTCTTACATATTTATTTTATATTATAAGCTCCATTTCCCCCACAAAAGTCAATTACCCGTTTTGTTGTGTTCCTAAGCACCTGCATTCATTTGGGCTTCTTGGAGCATCTTAGTCACAGAACCAGCTGCCGTGGAGCCGGGGTGAAGTCCATCATAAAATGCTTGCCAACACAACTTTCTTGCCTGCACTCTTTCAGGTGTTATGGGAAAGAAAGGTATTGAAGAAGGGCTCTACATTTAGGATATTAATCCATATCAAAACAGACACTGCTAGAAATGTTTTCTAGCAGAATTCTGATAAGGCAGAGCAGGGCCTTAGTCAGCTTCTTATAATTGAACAATTTCACACTGATTTTTTCCCATGTAAGTGGCTTCAGAAGAGCAGAAATAGTTGAACAACAATAGCTCTATCATTTTCGAAATGTCCCTTAAAGTCAAGGCCTGAAGGAAATAAGATTGAGGCTAGAAATTACTTTGAGCAAAACTAAATTTTAATAAAAATGGAAACTGATGGCCACAGCCATGATATTTGTCTCTAGGCTTTAACGTTAAACTAAATCCATGAGCTTGCCTTTCTTTTATTTATTTATTTATTTATTTATTTATTTATTTATTTAAGACAGAGTCTCCACTCTGTTGCCCAGGCTGGAGTGCAGTGACATGGTCTTGGCTCACTGAAACCTCTGCCTCCTGGGTCCAAGCCATCCTCCTGCCTCAGCCTCTCAAGTAGCTGGGATTATAGATGCCCGCCACCATGCCCAGCTAATTTTTTTAATTTTTAGTAGAAATGTGGCTTCCCTGTGTTGGCCAGGCTGGTCTTTTTTTTTTTTTTNGAGTGCAATGGCACGATCTCGGCTCACCGCAACCCCTGCCTCCTGGGTTCAGGCAATTCTCCTGCCTCAACCTCCTGAGTAGCTGGGAATACAGGCACGCACCACATGCCCAGCTAATGTTTTGTATTTTTAGTAGAGACAGGGTTTCACCATGTTGACCAGGATGGTCTCGATCTCTTGACCTCATGATCCACCCGCCTCGGCCTCTCAAAGTGCTGGGATTACAGGCTTGAGCCACCGCGCCCGGCATGGCCAGGCTGATCTTGAACTCCTGACCTCAAGTGATGCAGCCACCTCAACCTCCCAAAGTGCTGGGATTACAGGCATGATCTACTGTGCCCGGCCATTCCATAAGCTTTCTGACCACAGTATATAGAGGGAAAGCAGAAAGGACTTCAAAGATTTTATGGGTCAGCAGAACCTTTTGCAGTCCTCACAATTTACAGACTAAGGCCAGTGTGAATCATGCATATTATGGGTCAGACTCAAGAGGATGGGCAAACCACTGCTTCTGTTCCTAAAAGCGACCAATCATTTTGGCTTCCTTTAAACCAATCTAATTTTTTAACAATAAGAAATATATCTTAAAATGTTCCTGCCAGCTCTTTATACACTGTGGCTGCTGCTTCTTTTTTCTCTGCAGTGTTCTCTCTCTTCATCAGAAGAAGAAAGATTTATTTCCATCAGGAGACCTAAAACACCAACCTCAAATGACTTCTCCGACCTTAATACTCAGACGAACTGGACCAAGTCGCTTCCACTGCCAACACCAGAAGAGAAGATGCGACAGCAAGCCCAAACAGTCCAGGCTGATGTGGTGCCTATTAACATAACTGGTATGCTTTGCCAGGCAGACAGGTTCAGAATGTACTTGGGAGAATGACTACAGTTTTTGTTATATGCTGTTAGCGTTCCATTGCTACTTCAGAGGTCAATAGCTGTGATCTGACTTCATGCTCTTTGTTTACTGAAAGGAATATTAAAACTACATATGTGTGTGTATATAACGTATCTACTGCTTGTTGGGCCAGAAGACTATGTCACCAAACATTGGTGTCAAAGAACTCAGTGGTCCAACGATTCATCTTAAGAGTGTCTCTTTTAATTAAATTGCCTGTTAGTAAGCCTTTGGTTATACGGAAACATCTTGTAAATGTGGTCCTAGGTATGAAGAAAAATTATATATTTCTCTTCTAAAGGGTTAAGTAAGGCCAGGCACGGTGGCTCATGCCTGTAATCCCAGCAGTTTGGGAGGCTGAGGCGGACAGATCACAAGGTCAGGGGTTTGAGACCAGCCTGGCCAATATGGTGAAACCCATCTCTACTAAAATACAGAAGTTGGCCAGGCATGTTGGTGGGTGCCTGTAGTCCCAGCAGCTCGGGAGGCTGAGGCAGGAGAATTGCTCGAATCTGGGATTGGGCCACTCTACTCCAACCTGGGTGACAGAGCGAGACTCCGTCTCAAAAAAACAAAAACAAAAATGGGTTAAGTAATATTTACAGATGTAAAGAAGTAATTATTTTGTGATGTTTCTGAATGATAGATTTTCTAGAAATTGTAAAGTAGAAAAAAGGAGACATTATTTAAGCGAAATTTCTTATGCATGTAAAATTTTCAAAATATGTTATATTAAGCTGGAATACAAATATTAATTGCCAAATCTGAAATTCAAGTTTGGAATATGATACTCAGCCTGTAATTATTTGTGACAAGGTAACAGCAAGTCACATAAAAGTTCAAAGATGATCTTTGATGAACTTAGGAGAGCTGTTAAAAAGTTATCAAAATTGGCTGGGCACAGTGGCTCTCGCCTGTAATCCCAGCACTTTGGGTGGCCAAGGCAGGCTGATCACCTGGGGTCAGGAGTTCAAGATCGGCCTGGCCAACGTGGTGAAACCCCGTCTCTACTAAAAATACAAAATTAGCCAAGCGTGGTGGCACGCATCTGTAATCTCAGCTACTCAGGAGTCTGAGGCAGGCGAATCGCTTGAACCTGGGAGGCGGAGGTTGCAGTGAGCTGAGAGATTGCACCGTTGTGGTCCAGCCTGGGCAAAAAAAAAGCGAAACTCTACCTAAAAAAAAAAGATATTAAAAATCTCCTGCCTTATCACCTTCATAGCCCACAAGGAGCATGAGTCAGTGGTTTGGGGAGGGTACAAAGTGCAAAATAGGCATGTGAAGAGTTAATCGCTTCAACTGTTAATTGAATTGTGTGTTCGATGGAAATAGATGACTAGTAGTGGTCATTGATAATCAGTTCATACAAAGCAGGGCGCTTGAGGCCAGAAGCTAACAAAAAAACTAGGTAACCAAAAAGAATGAGTTTTCATGAACATTTACTCTGGAAACTTGTAGCATCCTTGCTGTGCTTCTGAGGCTACTGCTGTTAGAAAGCTTTAGAAAGCTTTTTCCCATGGCATTGGTGAGCTTGTAGAGGGCTAATAGCATTTTCATAGTCACTGAAGATTTTTGTAAAACCTTACCAGATATTTAGAAGTTATATTTAGAACTCATACTTTGAATTCCATAGAAATTTAATAAATAAGTAAATGAATTATTTTCAAATCAGTATATATTTTTCCACATTTATTTTACTTAAACTGTAAAAGAAAAGCAGGCCATTTTATCCATTTTCTCTGCAAACAATGTTATTGATCTTTCTGAATATGCATTCTGTCTACCTAGATCATATTTTTTAAAGATTATTATTAAAAGTATAACTTTTAGAACAAAGTTAATGCTTATTGCTCAGTGAAATATATGGCTGCTTATTTTCTATAAGAAAATGAATTACATTATTTGATTGATCAGATGCAGCAGAAATGTAATTACATTATATATAATTAAATGCCTATGAAAATATTAGAAGATAAGAAGATTGTGCTATGAAATATGACAATCCTTAATGGAATTAAGGTGAAATGCATTATCTTGAGCTTATGAGATTTAAAATAGAGTAGCTAGAGTTTCAGGAATGAAGAATTATTTGCAATGAATTACGCTGTCACAACAGCAGACAGTGTCATGTCTCGGAGCTTTAATTCTATCCTATCTGATGACTAAGTAGAGATGAATTAGAGTTTAAAGAGAGACCTTTAAAATGCTACACATGAAAGGTGAATGACAATAAAGAAAGAGCAATACGAGTTATGTCAAAATGTAATTTACTTTTAATTGAGTGGTTAACATTTTGCAGAAATGCCAAGAGTAAATATAATACCTACTCACATATTTACTCATCTATTTTCTACATCTGTGTATTCACATGTACACACACATATATCTTAAAGAATTCGTTTTTTTAATCTGGCATAAAAAACTATAAATTTAAAATGTTCACTTTTAGTGGTTGAATTGACATAGGTTATACAGCTCCCTGCTCTTTAAATTATATATTTCTAAAGTCCTAGAAGATATTTGAGATTTAAAAAAACAATTTTCTTTAGGGAATTGTTGTGTGCTCATTAATTGGGGTGAGCATTGAGCCTCTAGTTTGATTTTCCTAGTAAGACTCAATATGGAAAAAAAATGGCAATTGCAGCCTACTACGCATAGAAGTAGAATGTTAGCACCATGAGCTGCTAGCTTGAAAACTGATTTAATCTCTTTAGTTATAGTCTTGGGGGCACTTGACATGTTCTAAAACTTGAAGAGGAAAAAATATTTAAAGTAATATGTACATATAAATATGTTCTATAATCTGCTATGTGGGATATAACAACTCTTCCACCTGGAAGATAAGGGTAGTGGATAAACATGCTTAAAGAATTTTTACAAACTGGCTTTGTACGGATGTTTGAGCTGTCCAAGTTTTTTGTTTTTTGTTTTTTTTTTTTTTAATTTAAAAGAGTTTAATTGAGCAATGAACGATTCATGAATTGGGCAGCCTTCAGAGCCAGAGTATGCCCAGAGACTTCCCAAGTTTATTTCTAAATAGTAACCATGACTGATGAATGCCATTTTTCAATTAAAGGCAGTGATTAAATTCACAGATATTTATTGAATACCTGCTTTGTGCCAGGCATTAGCTGAGTGCCACAGGGGATGTTAAAGTACATGCATCACAGTCTGTACCCTCAAAAAATGTATAATCCAGTAGAGGAGACAGACTTTTTTTAGGTCATGATGCAAGATCGACTGTTTGGTGCCTTTAATGGAGTGTGTCTTAGATGTTCATACTCAAACGGTTTGTTTCTTAATTTTCTTGGAATTTGGGTGGTTTTATCTTTTGTTTTTGTCTAGAAAGCAAAACTGGAGACTAAATGCAATTTTCTTTTATTTCTTTTTTGGAGATGGGGGTCTCTGTTGCCCATGCTGGAGTGCAGTGGTGCAATCTCAGCTCACTGCAACCTCTGCCTCCCAGGCTCAAATGATCCTCCCACCTCAGTCTCCTGAGTAGGTGGGACCACAGGCGCATGCCACCACACCCAGATACCATTTTTGTATTTTTGGTAGAGACGGGGTTTCACCAGGTTGCTTAGGCTGGTCTGGAACCCTTAAGTTCAAGTGATCCATCCTCAGCCCTCCAAACTGCTGGGATTATAGGTATGAGCCACAACACTGGCCTGAGTGCAACTTTCTGTTAATGTTGTGTCTGTTCTTAATGTCTTGGTACAAGGAGGTTTTTTCTTCTGCTGCAGGGAACTAATGAACCGCTGCAGTTGTGACTTGCCCCTCACATGTGCCATTTATGCCATTAAACGTAGTGACCCATTTTTTCACAGCATTGGCACCTTCTGCTATTTAAGGGTCTTCTCTCAGTCATTTCTGTTTTTCTCCATTAGCAACAAAGTTGTAAGCATTTGCAAATTTGCAAGCATTTATTTAAGTTTGTTTCTCCATAGGGGAAATGTATTTTGATCATTCAGATCTGTACTTTTATGCATAAAGTGATAGAAGTTTGTAATTTTTGTGTGTGTATGTGTGTGTGTGTGTGTGTGTATACACACACACACACACACACTCTTAAAAATAACTTATTGAGGAAAATAACCATTCAAAAAGGTCAGTGCTGTAAGACTTTAAACTGGCAGGTAATTTGAAGCAGACCAGCCTATAACAGATGCCGTTATATATGTATACTTTATTATTTTATGGTTTCTTACGGTTAATCAAACACATCTACATGCTGGAAGGAAAACAAGAAGTCCCATGTGGCATTCCAGGTTTGATTGCAAAGTCACCTGAAATATCTGAATTAAGATCAACTTTTAAAAGTAATTGTGAAATAGAAGCAATTCAGCTTTAATAGCAGTGCTACTGAGTCTCATTGTGGTAAAAGTACTTTATCATTATAAGGCGTTTCATTTTTCACTATAGTTGTATGTCACATCATCATGCCATCGCTATGTGACATGGAATAGTTACTACAGTCTGTCCAAATAGTCAGCCTTTTTGATTGAAGAAAAAGCTTTTCACTCAAGAAATCTTGATTAAGTTACTTATTTCAGCACCCAAGGCAAGAAATTAATGTTGATCTCTGCAGGATAACCAGATGATTAAAACATATTCATTACCGTCACCACCTTCACACTAATGTAGAGTGGTTTTGGTGACCACAGGATATATGTGAAACATTTGGCAAAATTTTGTTTTGTTAAATAACACAGAGTCACTCTTCCAGTGTGTTACTGAATTTGCATTTGCTACTCCAGCTCATTTGAAAATGAGATCAAGGTGCTTCCTTTGGAAGGACACACAGGTAGAACTTGGAAAACAGCCTTACAATGATAATGTGCTTTCCTTCCTTTTTTGCCCTTCAGTATTCATCATCATATGACTGGCTAACCTTATTAATACCTTCTTATCATTTTACAACAAGCTTCTGGAAGAAAGTGCATGGTGTCAGCTTGCTTGAAAATAACATTGCTTTGCTTGTTCTACTGCTCTGCATTAGGGGAGAATTTTGATCGCCAGGCCAGCCTTCGGCGGTCTCTAATTTACACAGACACTCTGGTAAGACGACCGAAGAAAGTCAAAAGGAGAAAGACTATTACAGGAGTCCCTGACAACATACAGAAGGAGCTAGGTATGGCTCATCAGAACTGTATTCTGTTGCCCTTCACTGCCACTCAGCCTTACTGCGCTAACCTCATCTGTGGTGCTTATCAAATCGATACATTCTGATAGCCGTTTGGTGCCCCAAAGGGCCAGCTTCCTTCCTGAATGAGGCAGTAGGTGCAAATCTTAACATCCCATGGAGAGAGTTGATTGAATTTTGGGGAGAAGGTACAAGGCTGGGGAAGAGCTTACATAAAAATGATTAACTGGGATGACAGAAATTGATAGTTACTTCATCATCGCTGTATGACATGGAACACTAGTTATTTCCACAATTAAATTTACTTTTCATTTAGATCTTAAGTTTTCATGAAATGGAAGAGTCATTCTAGGACATCAAATTACGAATATGGACTTTCACTGTAACTATAATGACACTACTGGTGGCATTTTGTCATCAGAAACAGCAGTCTGGGATTATTGGTAAATATAGATAAAATGGTCATTTATATTGGATAGTGCCTTTATTACTTTCAGTGAAACAATTTCATAGCTTCTTAATTCTTTATGTTCAACCTGTGATGAAAACAGAGAAAATGTTTTGGCTGGTGAAGAGGGTTGTTTATTTACTTACCCATTTTGTTTCTGGTTATCTAAATACATGCTTTGGATAATCCTTTTGTTTTCCTCTTTCTAGATTAACTTCCTCTTCCTGTTTTTTAATAGGGCCCAGCAAGAATGTCTGCAGAGGCATCATAGCATAACTCCTGGGTTAGGGGTAGGACTCCAGTGCCAGCCTGCTTGGTTGAACCCTAACTCTGCCACTTGCTGTCTGGGTGACCTCGGTTAACTTCATCTCTCTGAGTCTACTTCCTCATTTAACAAATGGGCTTGGTGATGTTAAGAGAACCTACCTCATAGGGTTGTTGGAAAACAATTTACGCATGTGAGGCCTTTGGTACTTGATTAGTACCTGGTACTACCATAAACCTAATAGCTACTATGGTGATTATTATAGGAAACTTAATACTACCTGTCTTGAAACATGTTCTTTCCTCTTTGGCCAACTATGGACTTATTTCCTAATAGTTACTTTCACCTGATGTTTTTATTTACTCTCGAAAGTTATACCCTAGAAACTCAGAGTCATTATTTCTGAGATTTCCAGTTAGTCTTTTAGTCAAAATGAGTTTAACCAGTAATAGTGATATGTTACAGCACCTTGAGGTTGGATGTCAGCTGCTGGGTGCTGCAGGCATTGTGCTTCTCTGTTTGTTTTCCCAAACACCCTGGCTTGAATGCGTTGTATTAGAGAGCACAGACTCGCTTTTCTTTAGCTGGCATTTTCTCCTTTACTGCTTTCCACTTTTGTAGCTTTCTGTGCTGTAGCAACAGTCAGATGAGAATAGCCTTTGCTCCAGGTAGCCACAGTGACCCAGATGGTATACAGGTGCTCGTCCTTTTCTAGAGTGGATTGGATTATTACAAACAAAGGCAAGACTGCAGCTGCTCCCGTGGGATTGTGAAGTCTGTCTTTGGTTCGTACCCCGCATGCTGCTGCTATTAGTGGGCTGGTTCCTCTGTGACTACCTGAGGTCTGCAGGCACCTTCCCTCAACCTACTTTAAGGACACAGGTGTGCTTTCTCTCTCTCCTCTCAGCTTATCTTTGCCTTATTCTTTCAGACTTTTTTTCCATTCTTGAAGTGACAGCTAACTAATTTGGAAAGTAATCTGTACTCATAGCATAGGTTCAGTAGATAGTTAATGGAGTAATTTCTTAAAGCACTTCAGCAACATTTATACTTTAACTGGTCTTTTTAGAGATGTACCTTCAAGGAGTGACTTTAAAAAGACATTTAGGACCTTTGTAAAATCAAGATAGTTTGGCCCAAATTAATATGCACATACACATAAGTATTCCATGTGCATTGTCTATATGCGTATGTATATGACACCTAGAATGAGAGTTACGAATTTTGATCACTTTTGTTACTGAACCAAACAGTATGGAAGCCAATAGCTCAGTTGCTTCTTTGATCTTACTGGAATGATCTGGCCAGGTAGGTACATCATGTCATTTGTAATTCTGGTATTTTTTACATCAGTGATTAAATCCATGGAATCCACATTCATTTCTCTTTTACATGTGACATGGAACTGCCACTAATGCTGGAGGGAAGAAAATAGCTTTCCCCACATTGTCTGGGTTGTGACTGTTGCCAGACACGAGACAGTCAATATCACTGCGGTCGATGACATGACCTAGATTAGAGCTGGAGGTCAACGGAGACAACCATATCTAAGAGCTAGCTTTTAAAAAAAGATAATTAGACAAGGACTCTTATTCTATAGATGGGGTGGTTGGAGGATTGCTGGATAGAATGAGGAGTTAACATTTATTTACAGTTTTATTTAGCAAAAGTATTGGATCATATATTTATTTGTTCTGTCCTTTCAGGACTTCTGGTTGATCTTGCCTTTTTTCCCAGTGTTTTACACTTGTAAGGACTCTGGTTTGGTAGTCTTACACTACCCAGGTAGTATATCTAGGTAATACTTACCAAATCATACCTAGATAATGATGATCAAAAACAGACACTTCATATTTTCTTTAAAATTAGTCTTGTTCTAGATATAAGACATAAGGGGGAAGTATAGCAGAGTCAAACAAATTAGACAAAAAAGAAAACGATGGCCCAAAGGAAAGGCATTCACTAGGAGAGATGCACCCTGTCTAATAGACACTGCCCAAGTTGCCAGGAGCTTTGGATTTTTAAAAAAATCTAACCATAGAGAGGTACTTCTGTGAATTAGAAACGTATATTATGCTTAATTATATGCAGTTTTTATTTTAAAATCCATAAATAATAGACGCTGGAGACTAGCCAATATATAACACTTTAAAATCAAGGTATGATATTTAATGATTACTTCCAAAGCTTATCTGGTAACCTAAAATTTGTTGCCTTTCATTTCAGTGAATTGCACATTTTGAATGTTTTCTTTTATCTTAAATCTATACAGAAATTGGCTGGGCATGTTAGCTCACGCCTGTAATCCCAGCACTTTGGGGGGCCGAGGTGGGCAGATCACCTGACGTCAGGAGTTCGAGACCAGCCTGACCAACGTGGAAAAACCCCGTCTCTACTAAAAATACAAAATTAGCTGGGTGTGGTAGCGCATGCCTGTAATCCCAGCTACTTGGGAGGCTGAAGCAGGAGAATCACTTGAACCTGGGAGGTGGAGGTTGCAGTGAGCCGAGATCACACCATTGCACTCCATCCTGGGCGACAGAGCCAGACTTTGTCTCAAAAAAAAAAAAAAAACTATACAGAAAAGTATCTGAACATCATATTATGAGGCTTCATCTTTTAGAATCATAGGATTATTTTGTATTACCCTTGGCTACTGAACCCATCCCAATACATACTCTCTAAGCAGAAAAACCCTCATTTAAAGGAATCTCTTTATGAATAATTTTTGGTAGTTTATACTAAGAAACTATCTTCTTGATAAGACTTTAAAAATTCATATCCTAAACCTTAAATAAACTAACTTGTAAATATTCAGCATCCTTAATTACATATTTTTTTTAAATTTGAAATATTAATAAAAGAAAAAGTATAAATAATTATTTTTTTACATTACTCTTGAAAATCCTATCAAGTCTGAGCAGCACCTAAGTGGCCTACACTTGTTTGTAGTTCTCTTTTTGTAACTTGTTCTGTTCTTTAATCAGGATAGACATACCTCAGGGTTATTGTAGCTATAGTTCCAGACGACTGCAATAAAGCAAATATTGCAATACAGCAAGTCCCACAAATTTTTGGTTTCCCAATGCCTATAAAAGTTATGTTTACACTTACTGTGATCTCACTAAATGTGCAATAGCATTATGTAAAAAAAAAAAAAAAATGCACAGTTTAAAAATACCTGATTGCTAAAAAATACTAACAATCCTCTGAGCCTGTAGAGAGCCTTAAGCCTTTGCTGGTGAAGGGTCTTGCCTCGATGTTGATGGCTGCTGACTGATCAGGGTGACGGTTGCTGAAGGCAGGGATGACTGTGGCAATTTCCTAAAATAAGACAACAGTGATGCTGGCTACACTGACAGACCTTTCCTTTCATGAAAGATTTCTCTTTCAAATTTTGAAAGTAGTTCTACCATGGGTAAAACGTTAGTAAACAGAATACTGTTGTAATACTGTTTACTAACATTTTACCCACGGTAGAACTACTTTCAAAATTTGAGTCAATCTCTCAAAACCTGCTGCTGCTTTATCAACTAAGTGTATGTAATATCCTGAATTCTTTGTTGTCATTTTAACAATGTTCACAGCATCTTCACTAGGAGAGCCCATCTTAAGAAACCATTTTCATTGCATCTGAAAGAAATAATGCCTTAACATTCAAGTTTGATCATGAGACTGCAGTTCAGCCACATCTTCAGGCTCCACTTCTAACTCCACTTCCTTGCTGTTCTACCACATCTGCAGCCACTGCCTTCATTTAAGTCTTGAACCTCTTGAAGTTATCTAGGAGAACTGGATCTATTTCTTCCAAACTCTTGCTAATGTTGACATTTTGACCTTCTCCCATGAATTAAAATTGTTCTTACTGTGCTAGAATGGTGAATCCTTTTCAGGTTTCCAACTTACTTTGTCCAGATCTATCAGAGGAATCACTATTATGGCAGCTTTGGCCTTACAAAGTGCATGACAAAATTAAGACTTGAAAGTCAAAATTACTATTGAAGCCATGGGCTGCCAAATGAATGTTGTGTTAGCAGGCATAAAAACAACATTTGTCTATTTGTATGTCTTCATCAGAGCTCTTGGTTGACTAGGTGCATTGCAAATGAAAGAAATCTTTTTTTTTTTTTTTTCCTAGGGAGTAGATCTCAACTGTGGACTTAAAAGTATTCAGTAAATCATGCTGTAAGGAAACATGCTATCATCGAGGCTTTGTTGTTCCATTATAGAGCACAGGCAGACTCTGTTTAGCATAATTCTTAGGACTCGAGGATTTTCAGAATGGTAAAGGAGCTTTGGCTTCAACTTTAAGTCCCCAGCTACTTTGGCCTCAAACAAGATCCAGTTTGTCCTTTGATGCTTTGAAGACAGGCATTGACTTGTAGCTCTGAAAGTCCTAGATGACGTCTTCCATTAGAAGGTCGGTTCATCTACATCGAACACCTGTTGTCGAGTATAACCACTTTTGTCAATTACCCTAGCTAGATCCTCTAGATAACTTTCTGCACCTCCTCCATCAGCATTTGTGCTTCACTTTTATGTTATAGAAATGGCTGCTTTCCTTGAACCTCATGAAACAGCCTCTGCTACCTTCCAGCCCTTCTGTAGCTTCCTCACCTCTCTTAGCTTTCACAGAATTGAAGAGAGTTAGGGCCTTGCTCTGGATTAGGCTTTGGCTTAAGGGGAATGTTGTGGCTGATTTGATCTTCTATCCAGACCGTTAAAACTTTTTGCATATCAGTAATAAAGCTGTTTTGCTTTCTTATGTGTGTATGCACTGGAGTAGCACTTTTTATTTCCTTCAAGAACTTTTCCTTTGTGATCACAGCTCAGCTAATTGTTTGGCACAAAAGGCCTAGCTTTTGACCATAGCTTTTGACGTGCCTTCCTCGCTAAGCTTAATCATTTCTAACTTTTGATTTAAAGGGAGAGACATGCAACTCTTCCTTTCACTTGAACCCTTAGAGGCCATTGTAGGGTTATTAATTGGCCTAATTTCATTATTCTTGTATCTCAGGAAATAGGGAGGCCCAAGAAGAGGGAGAGAGACTGGGCAACACTGGCCAGTGGTATAGTCAGAACATACACAGCGTTTATCAATTACATTCGCAGTCTTATGTGGGTATGATCTGTGGCTCCCCAAAACAATTACAATAGTAATGAAACAACCTCTGCTGGCTTCCAGCTCCTCGACCACTCAAGCACAACCCTCTGTGTCAGTAGACACCTGGAAGTGACCCTAGGAGTGATGGGATTCTAAGCTCCTGATGCATAATCTAACCAGGACATGGACTGGATATAGAATGCCTTTTGCTCACTCAGATAGCAGAGGATAGTACTTAAATGACAGCAATGTGCTTTTGTCAACCTCAAAGGAGAAGGTGGCACCCTGGAAGGAAGGCGCCTGGCATAAAGCCTTCTCCTTTATGAGATCAAAGATCCCTGGTCACACATCAGCATAACAGATCTAATAATGATGAAAAAGTTTGGAATATTGCAAGAGTTACCAAAATGTGACACAGAGACACACAGTAAGCACATGTTAGAAAAATGGCACCAATGGACTTGCTCAATACAGGGTTGCCACAAACCTTCAATTTGTAATAAAACGACAATTATCTGCAATGCACAATAAAGCTGAGCACAATAAAATATGCCTCTATAGCACTCATCTGTTTCCCATCATATTATGAAACTTTTATACTGTGAAAATATTGGAGAGTCTGTTTTGGGAATAGAATTTTGGTGGTCCTTGTGATAAGATATATTAATTTCTCATATGCTTTTTAAGGTCTTTAGGAAATGTTTTTATTTTAATAAGAAAGTTATACTTAGCTGAAGAGGGTGATAAAATAGATATGTTTCTATTTTTTTTTTTAGATGCCTAGAATGGTTTCACATTTAAAACTGTTACCCAAAAGTATCAGGATTTTGTTTATGGTACTTAAAGACAGTTAAAAATCTACCACTAACGCCATGCAAATACTAGTACAATTTTGCAAGAAAACAAATGTATTTGTTTATATGAGTTTAATTCCAGACATTCAAAACCCATTGTTGAATGGAATGGGTATCTTGAGTGTTTGGAACTGAACTTGTACAAACTGACAGACCAACACCAGTCAACCTCCCATCTTCTAAATTGCTAAATGGCAAAACTTTGTACCTCTTGAAAGTGGGTTTTTCTTCTATTCCTGCCCTTTTGCCCACTTTCCCTCTCTGTGAGGGATAGCTTTGTGTGTGTTTGTGTGTGTGTGTGTGTGTGTCTGTGTGTCTTCAGAGAGTTGGTACTAGGAAGAGGGTAGAGAGAGGAAACAGATCATCTTTGCTAAAAATATACATATATACATAAAGCCTCTCCATCACAGTGAAGGAGAAGGCTTTATGTCAGGCGCCTTCCTTCCAGGGTGCCATCTTCTCCTTTGAGGTTGATAAAAGCACATAGCTGTCATTTAAGTACTACCCTCTGCTATCTGAGCAAAAGGCATTCTATATCCAGTCCATGTCCTGGTTAGATTATGCGTCAGGAGTTTAGGAATCCCATCACTCCTAGGGTCACTTCCAGGTGTCCACTGACACAGAGGGTTGTGCTTGAGTCGCATTGCTCAGCAAAGCCCATGTTGAGATAGATGCTCTTGGGTCCTTGTTGGATGGAGATAACATGGGAAAGCTGTAGTTTCACTACTGTTTTTAAAGATTTGATTTGTCTTGAGGATTGACTTTTTTTCTCGGTATACTTTGGGTAAGTTCTTGTTTTTGTGATTTTTTTTTTCCTTGTAAGCTCTGTTCTTTCCAGGGTAGCTTGATATCTAACACTTTACACGTAAGGTTTACCTCGTCCATGTCCCTCTTTGTTGGCCCTTCCTTGTGTTTCTTTCTTTCTGTCTTTTTTTTTTTTTTAACATAGTATTCTCTGTTTGGTTGTAAAACTCCAACGAATAAATCGCCCTAATTTGAGGAAATGTTCACTGGATCAGTTCCTGCCGGTTTCCCCCACCAGAACACAACAGATTGCTGTTGAATTTTGAATGTCACCAACAGACAGAGAATGGCTTCAGATGGATAATGAAATGTTTGGAACACAGATGGGCCTGTAAATCAATTTTCTTTGCCTTAGAATTTCCTTCTGACATAAAGAATTAATGTAATTAACACTGTTTTATACCAGTACCCCTCAAACATGGTATCTGTGGCCCTATTGTTCAATTACTACATTCATCTGCCTTTGGGAAAGATGCGTCACTGCTTGACAGATGCTCTGTGCAGTTACCTACTGGGCGAAAGGCTACCTTGAAGACTTTATGGAAAGGTGGTTATTTAAAAGTAAATCCTCCTCTGAGCCCTCAGCAGCCTTGATCTTCAAGGATTGCCTGAGAATTCCATATGCAGCACTCAAGCCATAGGAGGATTGGAAGTACAAATTAAGAGAAGTACCTGAAATTCCTGACAAGGATTTTTATTTTAGAGCTATCAGTAACTTTTTAAATGTATTTAGGTACCTGTAAGAGAAAGGAAATTAAATCAAATTGAAAAAAAAATTTTAATTTTGTCAGAGGGGGTGAGGGTACAGGTGATGAACTATAGATTTTATTTTCAGGTAACAAGCCTCTTTTTGCTTTATCTCCAGCATCGGGCATTAGCCAAGATGATGTTGGAGGCCACTCGGTATACACTCCCGATCACTACTCGACGCTGGGAAGGTTTGATAACTATCGGTTTGCTGGGCAGCGCTCAGAAACCAGGGACTCCAGCTGTCAGACGGAGGACATGAAGGTCGTACCACCTTCCATGAGGAGAATCAGGGCACAGAAGGGGCAAGGCATTGCTGCCCAGATGGGCCACTTCTCAGGTTCCTCTGGCAACATGTCTGTGCTGAGCGATTCTGCAGGGATCGTATTCCCTTCCCGCCTCAACAATGATGCTGGCTTCCACAGTCTTCCACGTTCTGGAGCAAGGGCGAACATTCAGTCTCTTGAGCCGAGGCTGGGTCCTCTGGGCCCCGCAGGAGATATGGATGGCACTTTCCCCTGCCAGAGAGGTCACCCACAAGCAGATGAAACCTTAGGCCATTTAGGAGGTTCCTCAAGAACTGGAACACTTTTGAGACCCAAATCCCAGGAGCTGAGGCACTTCGAGAGTGAAAATGTCACGAGCCCAGCATGTGTGGTTTCTCCTCATGCAGCCTACTCCACCAGCATCATCCCAAATGCCACACTGTCTTCCTCTTCCGAGGTTATCGCTATTCACACTGCTCTGAGCGCGGGGCAGCTGGAAAGTAGAAGTTCCAGCTCATTGCATGCAAAGATAAAATCCAGAGACCACCTAATCTCCAGGCATGCTGTGAAAGATGATTATCAGTCTCCTGGTCGCCACTGGAATGAGGGTCACACCACCATTCTTTCACAGGCCTTAGACCCTCATTCCTCTGGGGCACCCACACTGTTGTCCCTCTGTGACTCGGCAGTCTCTCTAAATGCTCCAGCAAACAGGGAGAATAGGTCCCAAGCCATGCCATATAATTGTAGAAACAACCTGGCCTTCCCAGCCCACCCCCAAGATGTGGATGGCAAGAGTGAATCTAGTTATTCAGGGGGTGGAGGGCACAGCAGCTCAGAGCCCTGGGAATACAAAGCCTCAGGTAACGGAAGGGCATCGCCCCTGAAGTCACATTTAGCAACTCCTGGCTACTCCACTCCCACAAGTAACATGAGCAGCTGCAGTTTGGACCAAACATCCAACAAAGAGGATGCTGGTTCACTGTATTCCGAGGACCACGATGGCTGCTGCACATCTCTGCACACTGACTCTGGACATGGGTCTGGGAATCTGTGCAATAGCAGTGATGGCTTTGGGAACCCCAGGCACAGCGTGGTCAATGTTTTTGATGGAAGAGCTCAGAAAAACCAGGGGGACCGATCCAATTACCAGGATAAATCCCTGTCAAGAAGCATCTCTTTGAAGAAAGCAAAGAAGCCTCCCCTGCCACCCTCCCGGACAGACTCCCTCCGCAGGATTCCCAAGAAGAGCAGCCAGTCCAATGGGCAGGTGCTCAGCGAGAGCCTGATCGCCACACTCCAGCACTCGCTGCAGCTGAGCCTCCCAGGCAAGGGTGGCAGCTCTCCCTCCCAGAGCCCCTGCAGTGACTTGGAAGAGCCCTGGCTACCCCGCTCCCGGAGCCAGAGCACAGTCAGTGCTGGCAGCAGCTTGACTTCTGCCACCACCCCCAATGTCTACTCCCTGTGTGGGGTGACACCATCGCAGAGTGACACGAGCAGCGTCAAGTCAGAGTACACGGACCCCTGGGGTTACTACATTGACTACACGGGCGTGCAGGAAGATCCGGGGAACCCAGCAGGGGGCTGTTCAACCAGCAGCGGGGCGCCCACTGGGAACGGGCCAGTCCGTCATGTCCAAGAAGGGTCCAGAGCCACAATGCCCCAAGTGCCCAGTGCTTCAGTCAAACCAAAGATCATGTCACCGGAGAAGTCACACAGAGTCATTTCTCCATCCAGTGGGTATTCCAGCCAGTCAAATACACCCACAGCACTCACCCCTGTGCCTATGTTTTTAAAATCAATGTCACCAGCAAATGGGAAGGGGAAGCCCAAGCCCAAGGTTCCAGAAAGGAAGTCCTCTCTGATATCTTCAATATCCATTTCATCGTCGTCCACTTCTCTTTCCTCTAATACTTCTAACGAAGGAAGTGGCACTATGAAGAGGCTGGATCCAGCCGTGGGCTCTCCCCTGGCTCCTCCTCCTCCCGTTCCCTCTCCTCCATCCCCTTGTCCTACAGACAGGTCTCCCTTCCTTCCTCCGCCACCTCCTGTTTCAGACTGTTCCCAGGGCCCTCCTCTGCCTCACTCTCCTGTGTTCCCCCCTCCCCCGCCAGAAGCTCTCACTGCTTTCTGCTCCCCACCTCATTGGTGCCTTTCTCCTCCCCCCACTGCACTGAGCCCCCTTCTTCCAGATTCACCTGTGTCCTTGCCATTGCCCCCACCTTCCTTACCTTCCTCGGAGCCCCCACCCGCCCCACCTCTTGACCCCAAATTCATGAAAGACACCAGGCCTTCTTTCACAAATTCTGGCCAGCCAGAGTCCTCCCGGGGATCCTTGAGGCCGCCTTCTACCAAGGAGGAGACCAGCAGGCCCCCCATGCCCCTGATAACCACGGAAGCATTGCAAATGGTGCAGTTGAGGCCCGTGAGAAAGAACTCGGGCGCCGAGGCAGCACCATTGTCTGAACCAACAGCTCAGGAACAACGAACTCCGGTCGCTCCACAGTACCACTTAAAGCCATCTGCTTTCCTGAAATCCCGAAATAGCACAAATGAAATGGAGAGTGAAAGCCAGTCTGCCTCTGTGACAAGCTCGCTTCCGACGCCTGCCAAGAGCTCGAGTCAGGGTGACCATGGCAGTGCGGCCGAGCGCAGCAGCCTTGGACCTCCGAGCGCTGGGGAGGCAGAGGCTCGGCCCAGCCCCAGCACCGCCCCGCTACCAGACTCTTCACCCAGCAGGAAGCCACCCCCCATTTCCAAGAAGCCCAAACTGTTCCTGGTGGTACCACCTCCGCAGAAAGATTTTGCAGCGGAGCCCGCAGAGAACGTGAGCGAAGCCCTCCGAGCCGCGCCCAGCCCCACGAGGGGAGAGGAGGGCTCTGTGTACAGCAAAGAGGCAAAAGAGAGTTCTGCAGCCCAAGCTGTCTCTCATGCCACGCACCCTGGCACCTCAGTTCTTGAGGGAGGAGCTGCAGGATCCGTGTCCCCCGGCAGAGTGGAAGCCAATGTCCCCATGGTACAGCCCAATGTCTCACCGGCTCCCAAGCAGGAAGAGCCAGCCAAGAATAGTGCAGATGCTGGGGGCGATGGGGAGAGCTGCCTGCCTCAACAGGACGGAGCAGGTGAGTCTGGCTTCCTGGCTTCTCTCTCCTGTGTCCTCTGCCCATATGCAGCTGAACCAGACAGAGTTGTTGAATGCCCACATGTGGAAAGAACCCAGGTAGATCAGATTCATGTGAAAGCTAGCAGCATGTGGGCTTCCCGTGCTAAAACAGGTTAAGTTACCAGCTTTGCATTTTGTTATTATTATTTTTAAGATCTAGACCTAAAAGAATGGCAGAAAATAGGGGGATGGAGATGATCTGCCACAGGCTGGGTATTAAATAGCAGTGGGTAACACCTCCCAAGAAACGTTGCAACAAAATTTAAGAGAGAGATGCCGTAGGCGTTCTATACTTTAACAAAGAATGAGCTCTGGCTCTCAGGCTAGTGTCATTTTTCCCCTTCTTTATAAACTATCAAACTACAGACCCACGGCATCTCCCTGTGGTTCTCACATTGATAGGAATGGCAGGGAAGCAGCATATTTAGAAGCTTGGCTGAGGACTGAAATCATAGTCACTTGAGCGTCTTGTGTGCCTGCCTGCTTTTCCGTAGCTGGGGTGCCAGAGGCCAGCGCAGCCTGTCCATCCTCGGAGGCCTGTGACTTCCTCAAGGAAGACGGGAGTGATGAGGTGATGACCCCCAGTCGACCCAGGACCACAGAAGACCTTTTTGCAGCTATTCACAGGTATTTCACACTCCTTCCTCTGACTTTAATCTACTTTATAATTCCTTCTTTCCAAGCGGCCCCTCAATTTATTTTTCTTCCTTGAGGTTCCTTCTGTCACCCAATCATGACTTCTTAACTTTACTGTTGATTTTTTGATGGGTTCCTATAGTTTTATTTCCTCTGACTCCAATTTCTGTTTCACTGTGTCTCACTGATTTTTATGACCTTGGGGACAGAGGCTCAATGTAATACCTTCTGGTAGGTGCTGCACTTCCTGGCAAGGAGTGCAGTGTGGCAGTCATAAGACGAGTATTAGCAGGAGTGGGATTAATGCAGCTGACTGCAGTCGGATGAGGACTGCTGCGTTCCGTGGACTTAGAATGCACAGACAGCTCCACGGGACTCTCTTCCTCAGGAGGTTTTAGTTTAGTATTGTTTTCTTCATTTTACAGAAAAACCACGATCATATAGTGCCATTTCTTTGGCTGCTTAAATGTTTCTATAAAAGAGTACGTCTCTTTGAGCAGGAGCAAGAGGAATGATGTGTGCTTGTTGCTGTATACCACGAGTGCCATCTACTGGCAGCAGAAATCGTTGGGTTTAAAAACAAACGATGGTAAAATTTTCAAAATAATGACCTGAATGGTTACAGTTTTTATAGGTGTTCATCTTTAAGAGTGAATATGGTTTAGCACTAACGTTTTATTTATCGCATCACTTTTCTGATTGTAAACAGCTGAGTTCTCCCACAACAGTGTCACTGTAAGAACTAATGACTGTTTATGTGCTAGTACTTTAAGCCATAATGCTAAACCTTTGGCTTCCTTCTAGACCTCTTTACCACGATATTTCCAGGTAACTCTAATGAATGTTCTTATGTTGCCAAGGCCTTATTTTGCTCTGAATGAAGATCCTTTTTTTTTTTTTTTTTTAACCTCCTGAGACAAAGAATCAAATGATTCCTATAGAATCATTTGATTCTGTGTGTGAATGATCTTATATCAGCACTCGTTATTCTTGGAATTTCACCGAAAAGACTAATGCATAAGATGAAAAGCATAGTGCTGTACCTACCTGAAACTCTTCAGGTGGCACATAAACATGTAACTTGGTGCGGGGATAATGAAGCTGGTGAATTAATGTGCTTGTCAAGAATTATGCTCTTTACATCGCTCCTCTAGTATTGGTATAACAGATCCTAAAGACTACCCCCTTTAACATGGACTGGTTTCGTTAATCTCATTAGAAGTGAAACGGTAGTTATCCAATTATTTCTCAAAACAGAGAAATGATCAATGATGCATCCTTTGAAACTTTAGTGGCAATTCTGGAAGTTCCCACAGATGTTTCTGACTCTTAACCACGCTGGACACATAATAAGCACTCAATAAATATTTCCTGAATTAAATAAAACCAACTGGTATTTAACCATTAGAAGATTCTTCCAAGACTCAAAGTATTTCATTTAGTATGGAATGCAATGAGTTGCTAAATATACAGGCACATCTATCTATTTATAGTAGCATCCGCAGAGAAGATTTGCATTGCCTGGTTGTTCTGTGTACTAAATACTTGGTTCTAGTGAGGAAACCCAACTGTTGTGGGTCCAAATTGCTGCATATTTTTTCCCAAAAATATGCCAAAGGTTTCTTCTATATTTTGGCAACCTTCTTAAGGCACTGAAAAATGTGCGGTTTTTCTTACTAGGGCGTTACATCGACTGCAGATGTAGAAATCGGTCAGTTTGTAGTATTCAGTGTGCACATGAGAGAAGTAAAAGCCAACTGGGCCTTAGGAACGAATTGCAGAGAGAGAGCGAGGACACATGCTAATTTCTGTTGTAGCTTGGAGAATAAATTAACAGACATAGTAAAAATCTATCTGCTGTCTGTGTTTTTTAGGGCTTTATTTTTATGTCCTTTAGCACATAAGCTCATAATTTAAAATAAAGAATATCTAAGTTGAAACACAGCTTCCAAATTTTATAATGCAAATTAATTCGCTTCAGATTTAAAGCCAGATGGAAAATGTAGAACACCAGTTGAGGTGTGAAGTTTTTATATTTATTGAAGTAATTAGTTTTTAAATCAGTGTTAACTGTTTAAGCACTTTTTATAGACATCTTCCTTAAAAGTACGTATTTGTGTGTGTGTCTGTGTGTATGTATATGCAAAGAATTTGTACATTTAGATTTAATTATTTTAGTGGGCACCTGCTCTCGAGAGATGACAGTGCTTTCATAAAATCCCATCTTCTTTCTTTCTTTGTTTCTTTGTTTCTTTNATCCAGCCATACCCCCTCTGACAAAGGGGAGACTAAGGCCCTAAGGTTCCCCTCAGGACCCCACCACACAGTGGTCCCCTTTTTTTTTTTTTGAGATAGAGTCTCACTCACTCTGTTGCCCGGCTGGAGTACATGGGCATGATCTTGGCTCAGTGCAACCTCTGCCTCCCAGATTCAAATGATTCTCCTGCCTCAGCACCCTGAGTAGCTGGGATTACAGGCATGTGCCACCATGCCTGGCTAATTTTTGTATTTTTAGCAGAGACCTGGTTTCACTATGTTGCCTAGGCTGGTCACCCCATTTTCTTTCTTAATTCTGTGTCTACAATTAAAGGTCATAGTTTTAATCAAATGCAGTTGTGACTTGTTTAATGGGTCTCAGCCCTGTCTACTCTGGCCACCCTTCAGACTCTGCATTGGGTCCTTACCATTTCTCACTCTCTGCTTTAGTGGCTTCTTTTTGACCAGAAGAATGGAGATGACCCCGGGAACACCAAGCCCAGGGTAGCCAGCATGGGCCCATCCTGCCCACTGTCTTGCTATGTAAGCCGCATAAAAACTGAATCAGCTTTCTATGTGACATTCAAAGGTTTGTCAAGCACCTGCTCTATGCCTGACCGATTATGGCTGTTTCGGCAAACTGTGACCTATATGCTCTAATTCCCCCTTTTGTGATAGGAAACACAGTCAGAAGTGTTAACTTGCCCACGAGGACAGAACAAGGAAGCTTTAGCAGTGGGAGTTATGTAGCTTCTTTATTTCACTTAATCTTCACAAACCCTGCGAGGTTGGTATCTTGTAAGTAAGGAGGCACAGCATGCGTGGGTAACTTGTCCCAGGTCACTCAGCAAGAAGTGGGAAGAGTCAGGTTTCAACTCTTAATCTGTATGTACAAATATACTCAACCTTGCCCTGCTGCCCATTCTACAACTTGATAGCAGGAAAAGAGATACACCCACATCTTTATTCTATTAATTGTGTCAAGCTTCCTTAAAGCAAGTTCTGCTGTGCTTAGAAGAGACACACACTGAGTTGTTCTCATGAAGAGACCGGCAAGGGGCCACTCGGCTCATTGGGCTCATCATCTCTGCGTCACTGGCAAAAGAAAGCACATTGAACAGTGATGTTCTTAGAGACTCAGGACAAGACATACCTACAGGAAACCTTTTACTTTCTTTCCTCGCCCCTTCATCTTCCCTGCTCCACCCCACCCGACACATTTTCTTGATCAGTGTGAAGCTTGCTGAAGTCAATTATGAAACACGATCTGGCCCAGAGGGTTCACTCTTGTTTTCCGGAAGGCTAAATTTCTGGAAGTTGGCACGTGGTCCCGGAAGAGCTGAGGAAGACTGCTCTGATGTCAACTTCTAGAATAACAGAATGTGACGCTGAGGAGTTGTTCTAGGACCTGGAGTGGAGTATGTCTTAGTACAGGGGGTATTCTGGCATGGAACAAGAAAAGGAAGTGTGGGAAGAAAGGAGGGTCAGCATGTGAAATTCACTTCGAATCAGCCCATCTAGGAGAGATCAAGGAAAACTGGCCATTGTTAAAACTTTTGGAAATGGTCCTATCCAAAGTAAGTTAATACAGTGTCTAAGATTTGTTTCGAATAGGAAGAGTGGAGACAAAAGGAGAGTGACCATAATTAATGATTATCATAGGTGAGTTACGGGCTCATGTGGTCTTACAATGAGCTGTTCTTTTTTTGTGTGGGTGTTGTAGTGTTTCAAAGTTAAAAATAAATTATTCACTTACTACTTTTTCTTCTTTTATTTTTTTGGAATAGAGATAAGGTCTATGTTGCCCAGGCTGGTCTTGAACTCCTAAGCTCAAGTGATCCTCCCACCTTGGCCTCCCAAAATGCTGGGATTACAGGTGTGAGCCACCATGCCCAGCCAAAAATAAATTTTTTTGAAAATGAATCTTAAGTAGATGGTGACCGGAAGATGTGACTTAAGAGAAGCAGAGTGGTTGTGGCTGACAGCCTGTGGTCTCTTGGGAATTAACCTTTGTCTTAATGTTATTAAATCTCAGATCCAAAAGGAAAGTCCTCGGCCGTAGAGATTCAGATGATGACCACTCCCGAAACCATTCTCCCTCCCCGCCAGTGACACCCACCGGCGCTGCCCCGAGCCTGGCCTCTCCAAAACAAGTGGGATCCATTCAGAGAAGCATCCGAAAGAGCAGCACCAGCAGTGACAACTTCAAAGCTCTGCTGCTAAAAAAGGGCAGTCGTTCAGACACCAGTGCCCGCATGTCTGCAGCAGAGATGCTCAAGAACACTGACCCCAGATTCCAGAGGTCAAGGTCGGAGCCTTCGCCAGACGCCCCCGAGAGCCCGTCAAGCTGCTCCCCAAGCAAGAACAGAAGGGCACAGGAGGAGTGGGCCAAGAACGAAGGCTTGATGCCTCGGAGTCTGTCCTTTTCCGGCCCCAGGTACGGCCGCAGTCGAACGCCGCCTTCTGCCGCCAGCAGCAGGTACAGCCTGCGGAACCGGATCCAGAGCAGCCCCATGACCGTCATCTCGGAGGGAGAAGGGGAGGCCATGGAGCCTGTGGACAGCAGAGCCTGCGGGGCCCTGGGCGCTGCGGAGGGATGTTCCCTGGACGGACTGGCGAGGGAGGAGATGGACGAGGGCGGCCTGCTCTGTGGGGAGGGGCCTGCCGTCTCCCTGCAGCCCCCGGCCCTCCGCCCCGTGGATGGGACAGCCGGTGCAGAGGGCAGAGTGCCCTCCCCGCAGTGTGGCGGTTCTCTGAGCGAGGAGAGTTAGGGCCAGGATCATGACTCTCCCAGGTGACACGGGGGGGTGGGGAGATGAGCTATGCAGCACTCTAGGAAGCCTGCCAGGCGCCCTCCCTGGCTCGCCCTGGGATGTCAACCTGCGTCTGTGCTGTGGGCCCCGGCGTGGCCTGCCCTGCAGTGTGAGTGAAAGTTATTTAGGACTCACTTGGCACTTGCCCTGTGGCTTAAGAGCAAGTAGAAGCTTAAACTGCTGAAAGTGCTTCCTGGGGAAGATTTTTTTTTTTTTCCTTAAATGCTGGGGGTGTGTGTGTGCATTTTCAACACTTTTTAATTTTTAAAAATACACATATACGCAAACAACATGTACAGAAATAGAAGAAAGCAAGCCAGAGTTAAGCTTGGTAGAGTAACGGAGTCCTCTGGACCAGGCGGTAATTGCTTTCAAAGCATTACCTTTATGGAAATTGGCGAGCTCCGTAAGAAAGGAGAGGATGTTACTTCTAAGAAAGGCGGTAGAGTTGCTGGTTGTTAATGCACAGAACACACGGATATATGCTCACGTGTGCTGCTGAGGGGAGGCAGGTCGTGCTGAGCAGAGAGAAGCTGGGAAGAGGCCGAGTGACTAATTGGTTCAGGTACTTTTTTCTGGGGGAGGTAGACTTTTTGGTGAAAATGTCAAACATGTAGAAGTGGCAACGCCGCAACCTGGTGCCTGCTGCTGTGCAGCCACATACACACAATTGTAGCCTGATTTTTAGAAGTGTGGGTAATTTTTTAATGAATTTCCTCAAGTAGCAGCTGAGAACTGAAGTGGTGGTGTGGACATCAGAGAGGGGCAGACTTGGAGAGGAATAAGTGATACACTGCTGGAATTTGTTTCCTGCCCATGAAATAAAATTATTTTTCAGAATTAAATTTGAAAACTTGCACTACAGAACTATGGGTGGAACTTTTCCTTTTACAACAGTTTTTTTGTTTTGTTTTGTTTTTTAACCAGAGTTTAAACTTTCATTAGGCAATTTCCTGTCACTTGAAATGTCAACATTTGCTAACTTTTGGATATCCTTTTGGGAACACCAAAGAAAAAGTTATGGTTATTTTTTTCCCTTGAACTGCCTACAGTATCATGTCCTAATTCACAAAGATTTGTCAAAATCTATGATCTTACTTTGAAGAAAATGTTGAATAGCTCTTGTTAGTCAAATAAACTGATAAAAATTGGTAGGGCTCGGCTATCAATTAGCCCTGGGAAATGAATTTTTAGATTAAAAAGATTTTTTTGCATCATTTGGTTTGTGCATTTTTATATTTGTTTATAAATAACTGAGTTGCTAATTATCTTCTGAGCTTCTCCGATCAGATTTTCCAACAATTTTAGACATGGAACAAAAGTGTTCGAAGTCTTTATTTTCATGTCAATCTTATTGCCCCCACCCTTACTCCCTTAACTTCCATGTACTTAGAGTCCTTTATTTGTTAAATAAGCCAGAGTCTTGTCTTCTTCCTTAGAAGGACCTAGGATGACAATGTGGAGATTCTTGGTCTGAATCTAGTGCAACTACCACCTGCCATCTTTTGGGGGTATGAATATAGTATCTAAAAGTTGGATTGCGCAGGCCAAATCATTATGAGACTTATAAACGAAAACTTCAGATACCCATTAGAAATGTCTTTGAGGCAAAAACACACCTAAAGAATGAAGACCCCATCTCTGAAGAAAACAAAACACCGCTCTTCACACAACCAGAAATCAAGACCAGAGATTTGGAGCAATTGTCTACTAATTTGGCACAAAGCTTGTTTGTTCTTTAGAAAAGTGGCGTTGGCTTTTGAATATGAAATCTTCTCATAGCTGCCTAAAAAAGACTAGCATATCAGAAATCTTTAATACATAATTTATGCAAAGATAAAGCAACATAACACTAATTATAAAACTTTTTAAATCCCCATTTTTAATGAAAAATATACATTCGTATTTAAATTTGCTTTGAATAAAACAATTGTAAAGTAAATATTTGAAACATTTCTTTTTGTTTGTACATGCATTTTTTTTTTTAATAACGAGATAAGTCTTCTTGTACAGAATTGTTGAGTGTTCTGCTGGATACAAACAGAAAAGCAGTGAGAACAGAAGGTCTCTGGGGGAGGTGAGGCCCCAGCAGAGAAGAGATGGAACATCACAGACACTGGATGGCGCCATCTGCAAGGGCACGTGGAAAAACAACTCCACATCGTGTCCTGTGGACTTTGGAATAAAATAGGAATAACTGTCACCTGGCAGTTCAGATGACTTGGCATGTGTAGAAACGTGAGAACTTCACAGGCATGGATGAAATACAGGGAGACAAGAATCAAGACTCATCCCTGAAACACAGCTACTTCCGCGTGGCTTCCTACTCCATGAGGCCGCTTGGTACAGACTGCATCTTACTCCAAAGCTCCAAAGGGATAGATCCGACGGCTCTCCGCGTACCCTGATGCTCTAAGTTCCAGGTAATCATAGACAGTAAGCCCCACCCTAAATTATTTCCACTTTAGTTTCTAACAGTGGGGAGAGAAACAAATGACCGTTTGGTCTGTCAGTTGGAAACAACGTCAATGCTATCTGATTTCTGGCCTCCTACTATTTCTGAAGAATCTTGATTGAATTCTTGCTTTTCCTGTGGGGGTGACAGTATGTTCCTTAAGAGAATCACAGTGAAAAGGAGCTGCTGGCCCCCTGTTCTGTGCTGGCATCTTAGGAGAGGGGAAGGAGTGGCTTTCTTGGTTCTGCTGTAGAGGGGTTCAGCCTGCATGTGATACTGATTCCATCATAAAATGAGCACAGCGGGATAATTTGCTTTGGCAGATGTGAGGATGTTGGGGGAATGGAGGGTCATTTGAATATAACATGGACCTGGTTCTTGGTCCACTTTCTTTAATAAGCAACGTGGTAACGAATACAGTTTCTCTGTTGCCTGCTCTGACCTACCTTCCGCAGAGGCCAGCCTTTATTCACAGAACAAGGTGTAGAGGAATCTGTTATTTGTTCAGTAACGGAAAAAAAGTTCTAATAAATGCTTCTGATGTGCTAGGTAAAGACGAGGAAGCCCAAAGATAGAAGATATGGATGAGCTACCCCTAAGGGGTATGATCCTACTGCCAGTTTCGGCTCTACAAGAAGTAGACACTGAGATACTTAGAATACCAAAGCTTTTATTGCAGTAAGCACCTTTGAAAGGAAAAGAGGAAGCAGGATGAGGCAGGGAGGGCAGGCAAGCTGCTATCCCAGGGGAACTCTGGGAAAAAGATCACTCATTGGCGGAGTTCTGTGTTGGACTGAAACAGCTAGGTCCTTGTATCCTAGGTGCTTGCCCCGCTCTGAGAAGAGCATGCTCTCAATTTCCATAATTTAGTGAAATCATTGGCCACCAACCCCTCCTGTCTTGAGACTAGTGTGACCTCAATTTGAAAGCTAAGGTGGACCCTGGTGAAGTAGCAGCTGGTGGCTCCTTGCAGCTGGATGGCACTTCTTGTCTTAAAGGGGGATCTAAGTGGCACCTCTCCACGCCTGCCGCAGTCCACCCCTTGCCCATATGGATCCACTTCCCCAAAAACATGCAGAGAGTGATTGCTGCAGGGTGCCATGGACCTCTCTTCCTGAGGATAAATGTTGAAAGAGGAGTTTGGTGAGAACAACTATAGCACCTTCCTGCAAATGGTTTTGGAACCACAACTGGTCCTCATTACTCCCCCTTTCATTCTAAATTCCTCAACTGTCATCTTTGCTGGGCTTGGTGGCCTTTTTGATAGTATAAACCAAGCTCTAATTCCTGAGGTCCTGGGAGCCAAACCCTTCTCAGACCAGGGTTGCTGCACTAGTCCTTTCAGTTACAGCTGGGCAAGGAGTGCAGAGTGCCTCCAGTGGATCCGCTAAGTTCCACACACCTTACCCCTGGCTCCCATCCTCTGGCAGCAGACTTACCTTCACTTGGAGTTCAGAGTCAATTACCCCTGACTAGATGGTGGCTTCTTGTCTACTTGTCCCTGAACACAGAGTTCAAAGTGCCCACATAGTAGCAGCAGACTCTAGTTCAATGGCACTCTTGCAGTATTGCCTAGAGAAGGTATATACCCTCTGAGAACTAGGACTTCTGATGCTGTAGAACCCGGAGTTGTGGGGTTGGGAAGTACCAAGTCCCTCAGTGGTTCACTGGGTATGACGGTGAGTGGGATCACTCCTGCCTCCACTCCTTGGTTCTGAAATCTATACATTCTTACTGTTGTAGACACAGCATCATATAGGCTTTCTGATTCAATAAGTATACTGTGTACAGGAGATGGCGGCACATCGTGGCAGGGTATTGTCTGCCACCTGGCACTGACGCAGGCCATGCCAGCATTCCATCAGGCCAGAAGCTTCTAGGTGGCACAGTATGTGATAGGACAAGTAGATCCTGTGGCCATTGGTTAACTCCCTAATTGGGTGTTAACATGTATAGATCACATGTTCAGCAAGTCCATACTGGCAGATCAGGTGTTTTATAAGTCCCTAGACTGTGTTCAGACCCTGTGGTCCCGAAAAAAAAGACATACCTAGAATAGGAGGCTGTCCTTATGTGAATAAACTGCTGGTGCTTCTAGGAAGGAATGAGCCTACCATAGTGAATTTGCCATTAAGTGACCAGTTGGTACTCACAGTCTCATCAGGGTCTCAGCATTGGTATATGCTGCTGGCAGGTTGGACAGTCAGAGTGGGCAGTGTCTAAGTTGGCCTTAGTAAGTGGGAGCCCATGTGGGTGGGTTTCATGTTTAGCCTCCATCTTTGCCACTTAGTGTGCACATTTTACCAGCACTGAGGTGGGCACTGGCAAAAGTTAATAGAACAGGCTGTCATTTCCTCTGCTTGGTTGTTTAGTACCTCTTCTGTGGTGGGTGCTATCTGGTGGGCATTAACATGTGATACGGTTTTTCAAATTTTCTGTCCACTCCATATGCCCATCCACATGCCTCTACCCCAGACCTCCTAATCATCCATTCTTTTTCCTCCCAAACTCCTGATTGGCTGGCAGACCATTTGCTGCTATTTCTATACATATTTTACTGCTCCTCCCTCACAAAGTGAATGATCAGTGCACCTCAAAAAATTCTGCCCAGTTTTTGCAAAAGATTGCAAGTTTTTTTTCCCTGTTGTTCAGGGTCACCTTTGAGTGAGGGTCCATTTTCAGCCTGCAACTACAGAATGAGATAACTAACCAATAAACCAAGCCCAAGCATTCCTCTTCCTTCAGTGGATCATAGAGGTCCTCCAGCAACCACAGGGAGGAGGGGTACAGGTGCCACTGTGCAGACATGGCAGTGGAGATACTTGCTCTTGCGGTTTGCTTATGTGTGTCCTCCGGTCCTGCTTGGAACTGCTCCTGTATATATCATTTCCATCTCCCAGTGGACTGCTGCCGATCCTACTAGCTTATGACTTGGTGCTTCCCACAGGACTTAGTTAAGATGGGCAGTTCTGGACACAGCATCACTGGGTCTCAAAGTTCCATGTCTACCAGGGCCCAGTAGCACACCAGAAGCTGTTTTTCAAAAAGCATGTAATTCTCTCCTGCTGTTAGAACCACCTTGCGTCAGGACCCCAGGGACCTGCATTGTGATTCTCTCATTGGGCCTTGTCATATTTTCCACACTGCTGCTTCTTTCCCTCCTACCTCCAATACGTAAGATCTGCCAGATCACATAATTCAAGCTGCTGATTTCTTCATATCTGTCACTTCTGGGTCTACTTCTAATGGTCACTTTTTTTTTTTTCTAATTATAGGTCATAATTTGTTTTTGTTTCTAGTAATTTTTTACTGAATGTTGAGAAGTATGAATGTTACGTTGTTTGTTGATGGATTTTGTTATATTCCTATAAAAAGTATTGGACTTTATTTTGTTTCAGTTAAGTTTCTTGAAATTAATTTGATCCTTCCAAGGCTTGCTTTTAAGCTTTGTTAGGGGAAGCCCAAAGAAGCCTTTGATCTAGGGACAATTTGACCTTAGTACTAAGGCAACACCCTTTTGAGGACTCCATGAATTACGAGTTATTTCTACTTTGGCTAGTCGGAACACAGACTTCTCCCAGTCCCACAGATGATCTGTAAATTATTTGCTCTGCTACTTTCCAGTTACTCATTTCTTGGCTTGGGTAGTTTCTTCTTACACCTTCAGTCAACCAAGGACCCTAGAGGACCCCCTGCAGATCTATGGCGCCCCCTGTGTGTGCTGCTTCCTCCTCTCCTCTCACTTACTCTGCCCGACAAGTTCTACCCAGCTAGGCCTGAGTTGTTAACACTGACCTCTGCCTCCTCAACCCAGCAGGACCACTGGTCTCTGGCTTCTCCCTCCCTGCTTTGCTGACTAGAAACTGCCTCCAGGCCATTAGCTTGAGCAATCATTGGACTCACCTCATTTTTCCCCTTTCTCTCAGAGAATCACAGTCCTGTATTATGAACTTCCAGTATCTGAAAACCATTGTTTCACATATTTTGTCTGGGTTTTTAGTTGTCTAAGAGGGAAGGGTAAATTGGGTTCCCATTTCACCATCAGGGCCAGAAGCAGATGTTCACCCGAGGTGCTTAAAAAAAACATAGTTCAAGGCAATATTGATTATGGTTTACTGCCCTGTATGGAGGAGGAGTTTAGAAGTTTATACTCTTCCCCCACAGGTCAGGGAACAAATGTAGGGGTTATTCTGCCTGCCAACGATGCCAATCTCAATTACACGTTCAGGGATTAGGCAGATAACCAACTAGATAACCTGCAGACCTGAAGAGCCACCTGGGCTCTTCAAGGTCTCATCATCATCCAGATTGTTCTCAGCAAGCGAAGTTCCATCACAGCCTTTCCTGCCAGCCCCAGCCTGCCAAAGAGAGCCACCGCTGAGCTCCTTCATGATGCTCAAGCCCACTCATGAGTGCATCCTCGGCTGTGCTGAAGGATGGGTCCCCTGGGCCTTCCTGTGGAATATAACTGTCTAATGGATAGCCTTGCCTCATGTATCTATGCTGGCATGCTCCCTTCCCCGAGCCTTCTCCTTCCCTTCTGTATTGTTTGTTCCAGCCATTCAGGCATTTCAGCATTTTGATCGCTCTCGGCTTCTACCAAGCGGCCCTAGAGCAGTGAGTCTATATTATCTCCTGGCATTTTTCTCATGGTGTGTAATCCTGTATCCTGAGAGCTCCAAGTCAATATACCCTCTCCTTTATCTAGTTGTATAAACCCGGCCCCTTTGACCAAGCGCCCTCAGGATCCAGTCCCAAGAGTACGCTCCTGGCCCCTGCAGTATACGCCGCCAGGTTAGACAGCTCCTCTAACAGAGTCCATTTCTCCCTGGTCAGACCCCTCTGCCGCAACGTTATGTTGTGACTTAGGTCTCGTTATAGGCCTGGTAGCCGGGAGAACGGGTGAGGAGTGCTCCTGAGGGGGCTCTGTTGCCTCATGGGGAAAGACCCTGGACACTGTCTTTCCTTGTGTTAGGGAAGAGGCAGGAAGAGAGAGTAGTTCCAGCTCTTCATGGGGAAGGGTGGGCCTCTTCTGCAGACTGAATATTCAGGGAGTCTCCTAGGGAGTCAAATGGTTGGGGACATCCACTGAATGCCCCCATCCCATGTTTTAGGTTCCCAAGTTTGATTCTAACCTTGATAGAACAGGCCTGGCTTGGTTGAATATTTGTTGGCCATCCTTTTACCATCAAATCCTGTGCTTGACCTTCAGCTTGCTCTGCCTGGCTACAGCATGAGATAAGGACTTGTTGGCAAGCTACCAGAGACTCTGCCACTCACACTTAGTATTGTTTGTTAACTGACCTCAGCTTTTCATTATCCACTTGCAGGACGCCAATCCAACTCAGCAGTAACCATGCAAGTACACTGTCCTTGTCTCTGTTATCCACCCGTCCCACACCGGAGACACCCAAATCACCCCCGAGTCACTGCATTCTCCTGCACCAGCCTGCCATTTCATCTGAAGTCTGCATCATTGGACAGCCTTCTTGTGCCAGGAGCGGTCTCTGCCGCCTATCCACCGGGGATGGGGACCTCCAAGCCAGACAGTGAGTCACTCAGCCTGCAAATGCTGTCTTACCACCTACGTTCGTGGGCCACTGGTACCAATTGTGCCAATTTTAGGCTAAGCTGGAGTTAGGAGTACAAAGCTGGTGAAGTGACATCTCTAAAAGGAAAAAGGAAAAGCAGGATTGAGCAGAGGAACTGTAGGATCTAACAAAGTCCTAAAGAATCTAGACCACCAAAAAGCTCCAGAGCAGAGACTGTTTATTTATTTATTTATTTATTTTGAGACTGAGTCTCGCTCTGTGGCCCAGGCTGGAATACAGTGGCACAATATCGGCTCACTGCAACCTCCACCTCCCAGGTTCAAGCAATTCTCCTGCCTCAGCCTCCGGAGTAGCTGGGACTATAGGGACGCGCCACCACACATAGCTGATTTTTGTATTTTTAGTAGAGACAGGGTTTCACAATGTTGGCCAGGCTGTTCTCAACTCCTGACCTCAGGTGATCCACCTGCTTCAGCCTCCCAAAGTGCTGAGATTACAGGTGTGAGCCACCATGCCTGGCAGAGGCTGTTTATTAGAGGGGTTTCAAGTTGGGTGGCAATCACTAGGTCTTTTTTTTTTTTCCTGAGACAGGGTCACGCTTCATCACCCAGGCTGGAGTGCAGTGACATGATCATGACTCACTGCAACCTCCGCCTCCCCCAAGTTCAAGCAATCCTTTTGCCTCAGCCTCCCGAGTAGCTGGGACTACGGGTGTATGCCACCACATTTGGCTAATTTTTATTTTTTTGGACAGCCAGTCTCATTAGGTTGCCCAGGCTGGTCTTGAACTCCCAGGCTCTGCTTGAGCAATCCTCCCACCTTGGCCTCCCAAAGTGCTGGAATTACAGATATGAGGCACTGTACCTGGCCTAAATGGCTAGGTTTTATACCACCACCTTGCTCAGTTAATGGCTGGAAGTTGCCAGAAAAAAGCATGCTGTCAGTGACCACTGCCCTGCTCAGTTGTAGACTAGGTCCCCCTCTCTCCCATAGAATAGTGTGTCCTTATCTTGAAATCTGAGGTGGATCCTAAAGACAGTAACAGGGGAGACCATCAGCGAACCACACCCCTCACGGCTGGGCGGCAGGTACTTTCTTGAAGGTAAATTTGAGTGGCATACCTTAGGTTGTCTGCTGTAACTTCAAATCCCAGAATACAACTGACCATTCTTTGGCCACAGTAACAATTAAGTACAGGAAACAATCAATGACAATTACGCATCAGTAACCTCACCTCTAAACCAGGCTTCTAAATCATGCTAATCAGCAGTAGCCTCATTCTGGTAACTGCATCTCCACAACTAGAGCTCCATCAACTCCTAAATGCTTTTGAAAGTCTGTTAATCCTTCCTAAAACACTGCATAAGGTCAGCAGTTTTTTTTAATCTGGAGAGACTGTGCCCTACAAGAGCAGTGCTATCTTGCTCAGCAAGCTGTGTATGCAGCTTTTTGTTCTGGGCACCAAACATGGCCTCCTCCTTTAACGCTGTCACCTTTGCCCAAGATGTTCCCCTCACCTCTGCCTCTGGCTTTCATCTGACTCCTCCTCATCATTCAAGTCTCAACTGTCTCTTGAGAGGCCTTTGCTGACCACCTTATGTGATAGCCACCACCCCCTATCTAACCACACTCTACCCCACTACCCTATTTCAGTTCTTGATCACACTTGCCAATTTCAAGTATCTTATTTGTGTTGAACTTCCTTACTCTCTAGAATGTAAACTGCATAACGCCAGGGGCCTTGTCTGTCGTGTTCACAGCGGGAGGGTGAATGAAATGGGTAAGTGGGTGGAAAGATGCTGTTGGAGCTAGTGAAGTCAGTGATGAAGGGCTTGGGACAGATTTGCTCACCACTTCCCAGCCCTTAGCGGAGTCCTTGCAACACAGCAAGGACTCCCTACGATGACTTAAAGAATGAATGAAAATACATAACAGAGGCCGGGCACAGTGGCTCACGCCTGTAATCCCAGCACTTTGGGAGGCCAGGGCAGGCGGATCACCTGAAGTCGGGAGTTTGAGACAAGCCTGACCAACACGGAGAAACGCCATCTTTACTAAATATACAAAATGAGCCAGGAGTGGTGGTGCATGCCTGTAATTCTAGCTACTCAGGAGGCTGAGGCAGGAGAACCGCTTGAACCCTGGAGGTGGAGGTTTCGGTAGGTGGAGATCATGCCATTGCGCTCTAGCCTGGGCAACAAGAGGAAACTCCATCTCAAAAACAAAACAAAACAAACAAAAAAACCCACTAAAAATATGTGACAATTTAATTCAATGTTTAGGGGAAAAAGCAAGATTTTTAGGGGGTAAAGTGGAGACCAGAAAGAAAGGAATGAATTAACTACGTTTAAATGGAATATTCTTGTGCAGTGGGGCAGTGGGAAGATGCGTGAGAGGGTTCAACAGAGAACGTATGGTGGCAGCTGCAAGAGACAGTTGATTTCTGTGTCCAACTGAACTTCACCTCTCTGGGCCTGACAGCTTAGTGGTTCCACAAAAGATAAATCTTAACAATTTTATTGATACTATCTGGAGGGGATCTCATCCAACTGACACAATTCCAAGGAAAAAAAAAAAAAAGGCAATATGATACTGATAGAGTGGAAAAGACAGACGTGCCATGAAACTTCCCTGGATCCTCACAGAAATAAAGACCACCATAGTTACAACCTATTTATATGTTTACAGACTACCGCCCTCTGTTACCTGTGTATGTAGATAAAGCTTCAAGCATTAAAAAGGCACATTGGAAATAAGCTTAATTAACAGTAGTACTCTCAATAGAGGACACTAGACACGCACTTTACTTTTGAGTCCTGTTGATGTCTATGATAAACAGTCGTTTTGCCTCTGACAGTGGAACTTCCTTTCATTTTCTCATTCATTTTCTTTGGAGGGTTCACGTTTTTCAATCAGCCACACTTCATTATTTCTATTGAGCAATTTGAAAGGACTGTTGAAACCTGCAGTGTAGTAAACCTTCTCATCGAAAACTTTCCCATCTTCCCTCAAAATGCTTGCTAATGTCAGAAGTTGTTCTTGATTCTTTTGGGCACTAGAAAATCCATCGAAAGACCTACAAAGGAGAAAGAAAATAACTGTGAATGATTTTAATACTGATGTGAATGTCAGTCTGAAGCAAAAAGCAGGTGCTGGTACCATGAATGCTGGGTGAAGCGCGGCTTCAAAGTTACTCCTTCGCGGCCAGGTGCGGTGGCTCATGCCTGTAATCCCGGCACTTTGGGAGGCCGAGGTGGGCAGATCACTTGAGGTCAGGAGTTCAATACGAGCCTAGCCAACATGGTAAAATCCCATCCCTACTAAAAATACAAAAATTAGCCGGGTGTGGTGGCGGGCACCTGTAATCCCAGCTACTTGGGAGGCTGAGGCAGGAGAATTGCTTGAACCTGGGAGGTGGAGGTTGTGGTGAGCCAAGATTGCAACACTGCACTCCAGCCTGGGACGACAGAGTGCAAGACTCTTTCTCAAAAAACAAAAATTAAAAAAGGTACTCCCTCTCAGCAGGTGAACCAACCACTCCTGCCTGTGATTCCCGGTCTCTGTGTGACCTCAGAAGCACTGAGGAAACCCAGGAGGATGCATCCCCTCCTTCCATCTGTTGACAAGCAGATTTGGAACCTACACAATCTCAAGTGCTATACCTTGTGCTTCTCAAACCTTTAACATGAATACAGGTCACCTGGGGATTTTGCTACTCTGCAGGTTCAGGTCTGGGGTGGAGCCTGAGAGTCTACATTTTGTTTGTTTGTTTCTTTTGAGGCAGAGTCTCTGTTGCCCAGGCTGGAGTACAGTGGCGTGATCTCTGCTCACTGCAACCTCTGCCTCCCAGGTGCAAGCGATTCTCCTGCCTCAGCCTCCTGAGTAGCAGGAATTACAGGCGCGCACCAACATGCCCAGCTAGGTTTTTTTGTATTTTTAGTAGAGACGGGGTTTCACCATGTTGTCCAGGCTGGTCTTGAACTCCTGACCTCAAGTGAACCTTCTGCCTCGGCCTCCCAAAGTGCTGAGATTACAGGCTTGAGCCACGGCGCCCGGCCGAGTCTGCTTTTCTACCAAGCTCCCACATCCATGCTGGTGCTGTTGATCAGAGGGAGGACCACACTGACACCCCTGCAGAAGCCCCTTTTCCAGGCTCGATTATCTCTTGAACACTGCCCTTTTTTCTCTCCTAGGGAAAAGAATAAGCGCTGGATTACAAATGAATATGTTATAGTTTTCATCTCTCTGAATTTATGATCCAATGGAAGAGATCAACATTTTGGCAGCTCTCTATATATATCCTGAGAAGGCTGTTTTGTTTTTTGTGTGTGTGTGTTTTCTGAGACAGGGTCTCACTCTGTTGCCCAGGCTGGAATATGATGGCACAGCATACTGCACCCTTGACCTTGTGGGCTCAAGCACCCTCCCACCTCAGCTTCCTGAGTTGCTAGGACCACAGGTGCACACTGGACTAATTTTTTTAAAAACCTATAGAGACAGTCTTATGATGTTACCCAGGCTGGTCTCAAACTCCTGAGTTCAAGTGATCCACCCGCCTTGGCCTCCCAAAGTGTTGAAATTACAGGCATAAGCCACCATGCCCAGCCTCTGAGAAGGGTTTTAAACAGATGTAGGTGATGGGGAGGAAGGCAGCAAATCACACTGCCATGTGTGTACCTATGCAACAATCTTGCATGTTCTTCACATGTACCCCAAAACCTAAAATGCAATAAAATAAATTAAAAAAAAAAAAAAAAAAAAAAAAAAAAAAAAAAAAAAAAAAAAAAAAAAAAAAAAAGCAGGGACAGGATCAATGTGCTGTGGGAGCACTGAGGACGGGGTTAAATCTGGGGTAAGGAGGGTCATCTGAGTTGGGCCTGAATGGAGGACAGTTTTGCTGAACAACGAAAGGGGAGTGATAGGAAAGAGACCATACATCTAAAAATACCAAGTGTTTTCCTAGTGAGGCAGAAAATGAGGCCAGGAAGGTGAGTCAGAGCTAGAAGGAAGAATCTTGTACACTAGCCTAAGGCCTTTTGAGATTATTTCCAAGGATGTTGAGCAGAAAGGTGCAACTTGATCAGATCTGGGTTGGAATATAAGCTGATAGCTAATAGACTGGTGAGGAAGGATCCAGTCAGGAGGCTGCTATGGGGATGTGGAAGAAAAGACAGTCAAAAGGTTAAAATAAGAAGTGGGAAAAGAGAATAAAAGTTTAAATATAGAGTTTTCAGTAGACAAACAAAAACATCCTGAGATTAAATCATGACAGCACTGACCTAGCTGAGCTGCTGCCACACAAGCATGATGAATTTGATTTTGAGGGTTAAGAATAAGGAACACTGAGAAACAAAAATGTACTTAATATACCTTATTTGATATAAGTTCTGTTATCAATGCGCCAATGCAAAAAATCGATCCTCCCACGCTTCAGATGAGATATCATTTCTCAAGGGTACAAACCGTGTCTGTTCTATGTAACAATGTCTACCTAGCGCCTAGAACCATTCTTGGCATGCGTTCCCTTTAATCCTGTCAAGTTAGGAATCTCGGCACGCACATGTATAAACACCGCAGGAGAGTTGATAGAAAACTCTTCTGTTCATCATTTTTATGTCATTTGAATATAATTCTGAACCACATGTTAAGAAACATTTTGGCCCAGGCACTGTGACTCACACCTGTAATCCCACCACTTTGGGAGGCCAAGGTGGGTGGATCACCTGAGGTCAGGAGTTCGAGACCAGCCTGGCCAACATGGTGAAACCCCGTCTCTACTAAAAATACAAAATTAGCCAGGCATGATGGTGGGTGCCTGTAATTCCAACTACTCCAGAGGCTGAGGCTGATGAATCACTTGAACCTGGAAGGTGGAGATTGTGCCACTGCACTCCAGGCTGCACAACAAGAGTGAAACTTCATCTCAAAAAAAGAAAAAAGAAATATTTTGGCTCCTAAATGTGTTATTTATTTCCTTAATAATAACCAATAACCAATGCTTAGCATGTTCTGCCTGAAAGGAATTTGTTTTTAAATTCATTTTCCCTTAAAATCAAATCTTGAACCCTCTAATTAGAAATCAGCTTTTGTTCTCTGAATGTGTATTGTTTCACAATGATCTATTCACTGTTTTACTCAGAACACAAAATGGTGCCCACCACCCTCACCCCCATGTGCCTGCCTTGCCAGGGGCTGGAATATATGAACATAGAAACATGCTGTCATATTCTTGAGGAAGTTTCAGTCTATAAATAAGTCACTATTACTTAGAAGAGGAAGAATAGAAGGAAGGGCACCAAGGACAGAGTCGCTAGCTAAATGGAGAAATTGAAAAAGGCATCACAGGAAAGGTGTCATTTGTCCTGGAGGATGACAGTGGGCTCTCCAGGAAGAGAGAAGAGAGAGTACTAGAGCTAGGAGTGTTTGATGCTCATGTTCCAAGTATTTTACGTAAATTAACTCATCTGATCTTCATGGCAACCCTATGCGATAGGTAAGTACTATGATTACCTGAAGATTTTAAAACCTTCAGATTTTAGCAAGGAAAAGTGGACTCACATGGCTGAGGTCAAAAGAAACAAGATGTGGAAGAACATGGCATGTTCTTTGAAGGGTGAGAAGTGCATGTGGTGGGAAGGGGAGCTGCACAGACAGGGCTGGCCCAGGTCACATGGGGCACTGCACTGTGTGAACAATCTGAGCTTCTCTGGGGAAGCAAGAGGAATCTGACAGAGAGTCCGGGCTTTTGTCGTTGAGAAACATCACAGTTCCAGTGTGGAAGAGGACAGAAAAAGGCTGGTGGCAGTGAAGACGGCTTGCAGGCTACTGAAGTGAAATAGTCAAGAAATAATTCAGTGGAGATCAATGAACATCCTAGTATCTATTAGGGGTGTCAGGCATGTGCCAAGAACTGGGGTACACAAAGATAACTTAGTGCGGTCTGTATAAGATGAAGACCCAAATAAGTAACATGGCGATGCAGACAAGGGAACAAAGCCCAGAATCATTTTTGAGGTGAAGGGGACAGATTTGGGAACCAATTGTCAGGAACCATGTGCTGATGGTGACTGCAAGTTCCTTGCTCAGGAAACTGTCTTGGCTAGGCATGGTGGCTCATGCTTGTACACCCAGTGCTTTGGGAGGCCGAGATAAGTAGATTGCTTGAGCCCAGGAGTTCAAGACCAGCCTGGGCAACATAATGAGATCCCATCCCTACAAAAAACTATAAATTAGCTGGGCATGGTGGTGGCACATGCCTGTAGTGCCAGCTACTCAGGAGGCTGAAGTGGGAGGATCCCTTGAACCCAGATGTTCCAGGAGGCAGTGAGCTATGATCATGCCACTGCACTCCAGCCTGGACAACAGAGTGAAAACCCGTCTCAAAAGAAAAAAAAAAAAAGAGGAGGCTGTCTGGCTGATGCGACCCTCAACTGAAACAGGCGCTGTAAGATCAGAGAAGATTTGGGAACTGGGGGAAGGCTCATTTTAGGGCTGTTGAGTGTGATTCCCCCAACCCCAAACAGAGATGTCCAACAAGCAGGGAAATCAGATCTGGAGACATTTACTAGCTTTGAGAATCATTTGACTCAGGGAGTTGAAGCAATATGAATGGATCACCCAGAACAAGTCAGCTATGAAATGAGGGTCAAAAACAGGCATCAACAGTGTTCCTAGGGTGAGAAGCGGAGGAGGAACCAATGGAGGTAAAGAAACTGGAGGGGAGAAATGACAAGAGTGACACTCTGAAAGTTAAAGGATAATCAAGTATTAAGGGACCAGGTTCGTCCACACATGACTGCTGCAGGGGTCACGTAGGAGAGGATGGCAACCACGTGACAGATACAGAAGCACTGCCGAGAAGGCAAGGGCACTCTAAGGAGAGGGTGGGAGTCATACCGGATCATGGTGGTTTGAGGTAAAGGCCATTTTGATAAGGTCTTGGAATGAAATGAGGAACATTTATTGGAACTTGGAGGAAAGGTGATCCTTGTCATGACATGGCAAAGAAACTGTTTGTGTCCTAGTGTAATGTGGACAGTATGTCTTGTGGGTTATGAAATAGGATATTTGGCTGAACATTTTCTTGTTTTTTCTTTCTTTTTTTTTTTTTGAGATGGAGTTTCCTCTTGTTGCCCAGGCTGGACTGCAATGACATGATCTTGGCTCACCGTGACACCCACCACCCATGTTCAAGCGATTCGCCTCCCTCAGCCTCCTGAGTAGCATAGATTACAGACACACGCCACCAAGCCTGGCTAATTTTTGTATTTTTAGTAGAGATAGGGTTTCTCCATGTTGGTCGGGCTGGTCTCAAACTCCCAACCTAAGGTGATCGGCCCGCCTCGGCCTCCCAAAGTGCTCAGATTACAGGTGTGCGCCACCGTGCGCAGCCTTGGCTGAATATTTTCTAAGCAAAATGTGAATGGAAGCTATGGCTTGGCTTCTCTTGATAGTAGAATACAAGAAGAGAGAATTTAAAGAGTAAATTTTTAATCAAAAGGGAAGCATAACTTAAACATTTGGAAAATTCTTAGCCTATCCATATTAAAAGCAATGAGAAAGCTTGTTCGAGAAAAAACAAGGGTAAGGTAAGCAACCTTTGATAAGGAGATTAATGTGGAACTGCCATATAAACAGAAACCAGGACCTATTCACCAGGATAATGGAAGAACCGTGCCAAAGGCATTTCAGAAATTATGAGCTGCCTCTCCCATCACATGCCAAGTGGAGTGCCTAGGGGGCAGATGAATTTCAAAGGAGGGTCTTTGGGCACCTGGGGGCCTTGGAACTCAGTGCCTAGCACTGCCTGGCCACTATGTTCCCTCATTCCAGTGCAGTCCTCCTTGGATGCCCCAGGTACAGCTCCAGTGGGCTGAGGTAGGTGTGGCCTGGGCTGCAATGGCTGTCCCTCCGGAAGGCACAGGCAGTTCACCTCGGCAGCATCCATGTGATGCCATCTTGAAGAGTACATGAGCTGTGGGGGTTTGGCTACCTTCATCTTGAAGGATGGAGCTGCCCAAGGCCTTGGGCATGTGACCAAAGCAGAAGGCCACAGTGAGAATGAGCTACTGCAGAGTCCCCAATAGGGAAATGGCTAATGGAGCCATGGGAGCAGGGCACACCAGACTGGGAGGGCCACCGGTGTACAGTTCAAGCCTGGTAAAACTGCAGGGGGTCCCTCCAACTGTGAGAGCTGCAGTGGGGTAGGGCCATCCACAGCCATGGGCAGGGCCACTTGAAGCCTTGGGGGCCCAACCTCTGTTCAGCAGAGCTTCACAAGTGGGACCTACATCCCAGTGGGCCTAGAGGGAAGAGCTCTGAGTCACAGAAAATGAATCTGAAGACTTAGAACTTACCTGGAACCTGTTACCCATTTCTTTTTTCCTATTTCTTCCTTTTGGAACGGGGTAGCTATCCTCGTCTGTCCCACCATTGTATTTTGGAAGCATGTAACATGTTTGATTTCACAGGTTCACAGATGGAGGGGAATTGGCCTCAGGATGAATTGTACCTTGAGCCTCAGGTTCGATTTTGATAATCTTTAGATGACTTTAGACTTTTGAGTTGATGCTGGAACAAATTCAGACTTTTGGGGCTATTGGGATAGAATGAATGTATTCTGGATGTGAGATGATATGAATTTTACAGGGTCAGGGCAGAATGCTATAAACTCCATGTTTGTGTCTCCCCAAAATTCATATATACATTTTTTTTTGAGACAGGGTCTCATTCTGTCACCCAGGCTGGAGCGCATTGGTGCAATCATGGCTTACTGCAGCCTCAACCTCCTGGGCCCAAGTGATCCTCGTACCTCAACCTCCCAAGTAGCTGGGACCACAGGCATATGCCACAAGACCTGGCTAACATATATATATATAAATGTGTGTGTGTGCGTATATACATATACATACACACACACACATAAACATATTTCTTTTTGTAGAGACGGGGCCTTGCTATGTTGCCCAGGCTGGTCTCTAACTCCCAGGCTCAAGTGATCCACCTGCCTCAGCCTCCCAAAGTGCTTGGCTTCAAAATTCATATTTTGAAAACCTAATCACTAATGTGATCATACATTAGGAGATGAGGCTTTGGAAAAGTGATGAGGTCATGAGGGTAGAGACTTGTAAAACATGTCCAGTAAAGCTGCCTTGGCTCTTCCACCACGTGAGGACGTTACCGAGAAGGTTCCATCCATGAACCAGGAAACAGGCCCTCGCCAGTCACTGAAACTGACAGCACCTTCAACTTGAACGTCCTTGTCTCCAGAAATGTGAGAGATAAATTTCTGTTTCTTTTAAGCTACCTAGCCTATGGCATTTTGATACAACAGCCTGAACAGACTAAGACTTTTGTTTTAAGGTACTTTTGTTCAGGTCTAACTATATTGCAGTTTTTTGTCTTGGGGGCATGTAGTTTGTACCGTGTCTTATATGAAAGACATGCAATAGACTCATTAAATGAAGTGATTCTATCTTGCAGCAGACCTCAGTAACATAAAAAACAAAGCCAGGAGGAAAACATCACAAAATGCACTAGATCTGATTTTACCAAAGGGTGAAAAGCCTTTTGAAATTGCATTGGCGCTAAACTGTGAGTGCATGCAAGTAAAACTACCAGTCAGCAAGGCTATAAATTAGCTACCACTTACCGTACAAACACAGTCATTTCGGCTCTGTCTTCAATGAAGATATCTGACTCTAAAGGCTTGGGCGGATCAAATTGCTGTTCAGAGGGAATATACAGGGAAACGGTAATGGTAGACTCACTAAAAGGACCTGAGCCAGGCTCCACGTAGCTTGTCACTGGAGCTGTCATCTTTATTTTCATCTCTGTGACATAAAAATGAAAGCAAATTTACTCTAATTTTGGCTACTTTAAACATTTAACCTATATTTTTTTTATCTTTGTGTTTTGATTTACTTTACATTATTGACATATTTACCTTTAAGACAATTTTCATCTTAAAACAGTAAGGTCAAAATTACTCAATTACTCCCCACATTAAACCACTTTCTGTAATACTGATATTTTGGGTTAATTCTTAATTTTTAGAGATAAAAGGGGAAATTAGAGATTACATGATCAGCAATTCTTTTTTTTTTTTTTTTACAATTCAGATAATGAGGTCCCATTATCTGAATTTTACAATTCAGATAATGAGGACCTGCTAAAATATAAATAGCAGCAAAGCCAGAGCAAAAGTTATGACTTGATGCTTCTAATCTTGGTACCTTCTTGTCTCCTGATGCCTCCGATCCTATCAGTCACCAAATTATCTTGAAGCGTCAGCCGTGGAAAAGGACTTATCACGAGTTACACCCAACCCCAGTTCATCCAGCAAAATCAGAAAACAGAGGTTGAAAACAGTGTAAACCCTGGTCCCGAGGAGTCATGTCTGAAAACAAGTCTTTGATGACTTGGCTATTTTTCTATGATAAATGATACTTCTTTAACAAGCTAACACTCAATAGTAAGCCTGGGGACTCAATCACAATATGCATAATTACCAGGAAACCTGCTTTTACCTTTCTCATTTTTGCCTTGAATGTAGCTGTTCAGTTTCGTAAAGCCGGTTTGGATGGCTGAATCCCAGTCCATAGACTCCACGGACGTGCTGACCCACTTGGCTGGTCCATAGTGTCGGATCTCGTAACTTCCGGGCTAAAGTGGAACAGAGAAAACTTCGAGAAGCAATTCTAAGAGGGGGAGGGGTGAGATGCAAAAATACCGGTGCCGTGATCTCGGGTCGATCTGGAGCCGGCCTGTCTAGGGGCTGCACCGCCCCGGGGTCCGGCCTGGGGTCCCCGCTCCTTAGGGCTGGGAAGAGCCCCTCCAAGAGGTTCCCCTCCTTGCCATTAGGGACCGCAGCGGCCCCAACCCCTCACGCTGGGGACTCGATTCAAGCTTTAAAGACAAGCAACTGTGACACCCCCTCTGCTCGGAAGGTTCCACCGCGCGTTCTGGGACTTAACCAGTTCCTCCCCGCCCCGCCACCCCGCAAAGACAAGAAATTGAGGTGGGACCTGTACTGGGCGTAGGGGGAGGGTACAGCTAAGTGACTGCCGTTTCTCGTTTGCTTAAGATAAGGGGTAGGGGCTCGAACCATTTAAAAAATTGTACTTTTTACTTAACTCTACCAGACCCGCTGGCCTCACTGCAAATCAGCCCGAAGGCGGGCCCGGCCCCTCCGCTCCCGGGTCGGCGCCTACCTGGGGGCCCGCGTCCTCCGGGGCCTTCCAGCCCGGTGTCTCCACCACTTGGGCCGCCGCGACCTCGGCCGCCCCGGGGTCTGGCTGGAGCGGCTCGGCCATGGGCGGCGTCGACGCTCTGGGAGCCTGGCCCGCCGCGCCGAGGGCCCGCACCGCGGCCGCCCCTCCTGCGTGCGCGCGCCCCGCCGAGGCCCCGAGTCCCCGAGTCCGCGCCCTGCAGACGCGGTCTCTCCTCCCCGCCGCGCAGGACACCTGAACTAGCCGGATGCGCCCGGCTCTGGGCCGCTAGGGGGCGCCGCCACCAGGGCGTGGCCGGCTCCCGACCCCTCCGCGGGAATGGGAGCCTCGCTCGCTTTGGCCCGCCTTCCTTTGGGGGCACCTCCCGCCCTCCCTTGCCCCTGCCCTTGTTTTTGAGGGAAAGTCGCGCAGAGGTGGCCCCGCGGGCAGCCGAGGGTGGCGCGGTTTCCGTGCAACAGGTTTGGGCACCTCTGCCACGGTCCCGCCCGCGCTGGGAGCCGCGGGCGCGGACGGGGAGCCCTGGCAGCGGCGGGGACGGCCACCCGCCCCTAGAGGGTGTCCCGGCGCCGCCGCGGGCAGAGAAGGGCAGGAGGGGGTGCCTGGCGACCCGACTCCCGGGGCCCAGCCAGGGCGAGCGGCCATACTCACCCCAAGAAGGTGCCCTAGGGCCCAGACACTCCTCAGGGTCCCTTGCGGAGGAGGTGGCGGGGCCACAGACACAAGGGGAGAATCTGGAACTCTTCTGGTTTCTGAACTTTTCCCCGACAGAACCCCAAACCCTCTGAGTCATCCTCCCAGGCTTAACGGGACTCGGGGAGAGGTAGGTCCGAGGCCAGACCCCAGTGCGTTTCAAGAATTCTGGTTACCAGGGCTTTCCAGAGCCAAGCCGGGTGCGGCTCTGTTCCCCAACCCTCCCACCCCGACGTTCAGACGGCCAGGCTGACCCGCGTGACTGTGCCCTGCGCGGGGACCCTGCGCGACTCCAGCGCCCCCCAGCAGACCCCCATCGTGGGCAGCCAGAGCTCCGAGGCTTCCCGGGGCGACGTGACAGCTGCAGAGGCAGCTGGCACTCCCCACTCAGTAGCCAACTGACAGGAGGTTGGCGGCATGAAAATAAATGGTGACAACCCCCAAGGGTGAAAGGGAATCAGCCCCCGGGAAGAGGCAGCCAGACGGGGCCACTGGCAATGTGGAGCCAGCACCCCCTAGCCAGGGTGCTGAGACCAAGAGGGAGCCTCCCTTCCCAGCAAGAAGATGAAATTGTCTTTCAAGGCTAGGCACGGCTTCTAACGCCTATAATCCTTGAATTTTGGGAGGCCAAGACAGGCAGATCGCTTGAGCCCAGGAGTCCGAGACCAGCCTGGGAAACATGGCAAAAATCAGTCTCTATAAAAATACCTGGGAAACATGGCAAAACCCCGTCTCTA